GGGGGGTCTCGTTTTTACTGAAAGTCGATCTAAACCCCTAAAACATGTAAAATTACTCTGAACACCTTAGTTTAAGTCCAAATACTGCTGAAGTTCGGAATTTTATCTTTGGGAGTGGGGTATTCGATTCAAGCAGTCGTGGTTGTGTGTAACATTAATATTGTGATGTTTAATATTATGCGTCTACAAGGGAGAAAATGACCCATTGCATCTTAAAAAATGATCCTAAGAGGCGACTGCTGGGATAATCTTGTGGGGATCTCCTGTGCAAATTTCAGCTTAATAAGTCATATTTAAAGATCTAAATTAAATTTCCTTGTTAACATAATAATGTAAATTGAATTTCTTGTAGTTAAGCTTTAGTTGTTGAAATGATGCATAGTGAATTTAGTGTAATAAGAATTAAGGCATTCAAGCTGATACCTTCCTACAAATAGTTCATTTAAGACTTAATGACAAGGCGGTCTCTGACCGCTAAGAAATGACACTTTATGATAAGGATTTGTTTTATATCTGTGTCAAGCGGAACTCATTTCCTCTTTTGCTTTTGTAGCGTGCACGCAGGCATCCATCCAGATACTGGCAAAGCTGAACAAGAGAGCGAGTCCAAGGATCATACAGAGCGCTGACGAAGCTAAATTCTCCTTGTTTTTACACCATTTCCTTCTGCGAAAAGTCTCGTCCCGACACCTAGGCCGGGGAATTCCATGGGTCCTCCCTCTGTTCCAATGCTTATTCCCTTATCGCTTGAAACTGGAGTTGCATATGGTGCACCAGAATCCCACCGCTGCCACCAAATGTAACGTGCGGGTGGTCACCCATCCAGCCTAATGGTCACGCTCGATGTTGCTGAACTACATGTACAGTGAGCGAGACGTTGGTCAGCCGCACGCTGAAAAAAGTTAGTTTGCCAGAAAGGCATGTATTTCCCCCACTTATTAATTACCCGACTGTTACGCTACCATACCGGCTTCGAATCAAGGTCGTTGTGTTCAGTCAAGACCAAAATAAAAACATTTAAAAAATATGTATGTGACTTAGTTTAATCAGGTACTAGCCTCGTCTGTCAATACACCTTTAATATAATCATAGTATAGGTGTATTGACAGACGAGGCTAGTACCTGTAAGCCCGACAGTCGTGTGGCCTAGATTAACAAATAAACTACGATGTGTCATTTAATAACCTTCAATGTTGTTATTAAATGAGCTTGACATGGGCTTTTTTAAACACTGTAGATAGAAACCTAACTGTTCATTATATGTCCAACTTATTTTTGACACAACTTTATAAAACATGTTATATAAAGTTCAAGTATTTATCTACCTCACATCGCCCCCGGTTTTGCAAAATAATAAGTTACTCATAGGCATTTCCCTATAATATTTGAGGGGTTTCGAATAGCCACATTTATATTAATTTACACTGTAATGTCTCTCAAAAATTACATGTTGTAATAGAGACTTTTTAATAAAACTTTTTAAGCCCCGCATGACATAGATATATATTATTAGAATTCAGTTGGTTAAAAAGGAGATCGACACCAGGGGCGGGTCCAGGTGAGGGCGTAATGGGCGTATTTTTATTGTATTGAATATGGCAATTTATCATATTCATTAACTAAACACATAAACACCCTGACACTTTAACTATAAAATAAACATGCTCCAAGTCAAGAACCGTTACATTAATGCATTTCACAATTATTTTATGTTTTTTAGCAAAAAAAAGGTCTCCTTTTTTCGCCTAGAGATTTGATTCTACACCCCCTCTTTCAAATATCCTAGAAACGCCCCTGGACACGGAGGCTTTAAATGAAGGTTGACTGTACCATTTACTGACTAAGCTTAATTCCTATTGTGAAATTCTAATAACTTAAGTTCAAGATCAATATGGTTAATTTCATATCTCAATACGATGTTTGATTGCAGTATTTATATATGGCATATCAAAGTTGAAATTTACGGTGACCTAACCGCCTTTCATTGAACATTCAACCTGGAATGTGTCATAAAAACTCGTAACAAACGAATAGAGGAATATTCTTCACTATTTGCAGAGAATTATATACACTTTTTTATTACAGATTCAGGCATTAACATGGAAGGAAAGTTTATCCGAAGAGGCAACTAAAGAAGTTGCACGGAGCGCCGACCGACAGTTCCGCGGATTGACAGGCCACATCCGTGCTCCGGGCCTTATCTGTCAGAATAGCCTTGACCTTGTAATCTCCCTGCAGGACGAGAAATGACATTAAACTCTACATACAGTAACACGGGAACAAAACTCCGAGGTACATACCTAGCAAGTATATAATTACCAGAACTCATCGAAATACAGTCATCGCTCCGTACTAGGAGATTAGTTCCTTATGTGAAAGAGTTTATTTGGGCATATTTCCCCCAAGTTCAACATAAAAAGAAAAGTTTAGTACACAACTATTATAATGAGATATATATGTATAAGTTATGCACAATAGTATATAGTTTATGTGTTTATGGTAAAATATATATACGCCTATGTATGTAATGCTTACATCTTTCTTTTAGTCACTGTTCCCAAAACGGGACACTTTTTAGATAAATATCAATGCACTTTATACCATACTCTAAACTCCAAAAAATATTTGTTCATTTTTTTCATAAATAGATACCATCAACCTTCTTTTCTATTACAAGTTGGCATTTCCGGCGCGTGGATCTATAAATAGACCGTGAAATACTATCAGGATTATGTAGGCCGGGGCCCTTGAACAGGTACGTCAACCACGAATCTGTTGGTAATTATTCTTATCTTTGAATTGTCCAAGTAACGATATATACAGTTAAATTGTCATAAAAGGATCATCAAGCGAAAATTACATGCATAACAGTTCTTCTTCGTTTTCCCCACAATTAAGTGTCCCGTTTTGGGTACAGTGACGTTACATATTAAGTAAAACGTACATTTTATATCAAGTATTTCTGTATTTGTATCCAGTGTCGATATTAGCTCACTCTGTCACGAACTCTCATACGATCTTATTGCTATCAACTTTGCCACTTACATGGTCTTTCCTTCAAGTTTCATTATAACAGTAAATACTTCCGATCACATCGTTTAATGCACAAGAACCTGATAATTTGTTACAGCTATATTTGGACCTTAACTAAGGTGTTCAGAGTAATTTTACATGTTTTAGGGGTTTAGATCGACTTTCGGTAAAAGCATACGCCATTTCAGAGTTTCTACAAAAAATGGCTCTATGACTGCGTAGACTTTGAAATGTCGTGTGTTTTTGAGGAAACGGATATCATGTCCGTGAAAGGAGAATACATTTTACGTGCACATAGGAGGTTTTTAAAAGACAAAATATCCATCTGTCCAACGGTACTAAGCATTTTTTCGTACATCAACTAGAAATGCTATATTCGATCGCAAGGAAGTTAGGTGGGGTCGAATTTTCGACATCTATTATCATAATTTGGGGGTGTCATTTCTACCGAAACTCGATCTAAACCCCTAAAACATGTAAAATTACTCTGAACCTTAGCTTAGGTCCAAATATAGCTGTAACAAATTCTCAGGTCCCTGTGGTTTAGTGTACAAGACCATATTGTGTTCTGCGATGTGTGTTATAGCTCTACGACCGTACTCACCGACGCTAACCAGCTCCACACACCCGACATTTCTGGTATCTTGAAATGCTCTTGATTCATTGTGTAACGGCCCTCTGCGAATGGACAGTTGCAGGGTAAGCCCTCATTGGACAATTGAGCCGGACAGTTTGGTGCGCCGTTCAATGAGAAAGATGAGCTCAACATCGAACACACATCGTCATAGGTACTGAAACACAGTAATGAAACGTTATGAGAAATGCAAATAAGTTGTGCCGCACAGCTTTTTATATCAAATTACCATGTTATTTGTATGCACAAAAGATGCATATATACGTAGTCTCCATTGGTTACTGCGTTAATGTCTCGCGGGTTGGTACATTGATCCTTCGTGCGCATATGATTATTTCGGGAGGGAGGATCAATGAACACTTGGTATCACTATAGTAGATAACTCCAGTTTGAGCAGACCTGGTTGCCGTGGATTACGTGTGTTATTTTTTGGGAAAGAAGGTAATGACAAACTCAGAATGCCACATTTGGATATGATGTATATGCTCTAAACGTTTGCAAAAACCACTTCAGATTCTGTGTATCACTGATTGGCTGGTCACGACGAGCCCTTGATATCGCCCAGAAAACAATTGCATAGGGTATATGTCGCGAAAAATGCGAACGAGTGTACCTGATACTTTGACGCTGGGTACCCGCGTCCTTATCAGTGATGCTATGTTGGCTCCGTGTTGGGTGGGTGCCATTAAAAAAAAACCACGCACTCATGGGTAATGAAAATATGCCTTAAATTAACCCAGTACAGCATTGTTAAAATTTCTTGTTATGTCTTCCACAAGAAGTGGCGACACAATGGCACGCTTATCGCCCCGCCTCTCACGTCGAGGAAGGACATTCAAAAGCTGCTGGGGTTTTGAGATATCTCAAACCCCTGGAAACTGACGAATAGTGTGACGAACCTCGTCACGTCTGCATTTTAGGCTCTTTGCACAGACGTCATGTAAATGCCACCCTTTATTTATTCATTATTCATTTATGTGCACATTGCAATGATTGTCTGCTTGCTTAATGTATACAGGTGATTTTAAGCCGTCCTTTTTGTTTAACAATTATAACTAATACTATTATCCACATTTTTTAAAGCGCTTTAGAGCAATTTCACAAATTATATAGTGCACTATATAAATGTTGTATGTTATTTATTATTATTTATTTATAACTGGTGATCTCCTGATAAAAGCATTTCACAGGCAGCAGAACGTTGCATCGAGGATATATCCTTCATTCCAAACAAAGTATCAGAATGTTTTAAAGCATTATACGTTCTACGAGTCAATTCAAATGCTGAATGTGGAGTAGACAGTGAAGCGCTTTTGCGCTTATATCGATCACTGTTAGATCAAACCCGATAATGGAACCTTGGTCCATTGATCGACTTGAAGTTCTCATCTGCAGATGTTGAATCGAATTCATAACTGAGGGCTGCGACTAGCCTTATGAGCTTTACGTTCAACTCCAGAGAAAAATCTTTACGTGGAAGTGAATGAACTATTGCTCAATGTCCGAAGGAAAACCTGGCACTGCCGTTTGTAGCCCAAATGTAATCAAGCCTACCAAATACTGCCTTTGACCTAGTTTTTTTTACCCGAAATAAAATAGTTTTTTTTTTTACGCAGAACCAAGAACTCTGAACGGCATTAAGCATACGAAATTCCAATTTCCTGCAGAAACTCTATATACATTTAAATAACATTTCTGAATTGAACATAAACGATGTTTCGCCATGGGTTATAATTTTGCACTGCATTAGCTAAACAATCCACTGCTATACCAAAAGAACACAAATCTTCCTTTCAAGAATGTACTTCAAAGTGCTCGGCTCATGCACATTATCTCGGCTTCGTGCTGGTCATACCTCTCTCACTCAATATGTATCTTCTAGAACGGGGATATGAACCTTCATGCCACGCATGCAGCTCCCAATTTCAATGAGACATTTTTAAAATATAACGATCGTGTTTTAGATCATACTTGATAAATTCTTCAAATTCCTGATGTGAAAACCCTTCCTTACCCATAGATGTGGACACATTGTTTAACATTGTACAATACATCGATATAAGGTATAAACTCTATTGCCTCTAAGTGTATATACTATCTTTCCATTGCAGATAAGTGTAGTATTTTAAACTAAAGTTTGTAATTTTATCTCATTGCCCTTTTAATTTTCCTATCCTATCATGATAATGATTTTTTAAGGTATGTGAGTTTTTACCCATTATTATGTTTTTGTTCTGCCAAATGGTTGCACCATTTAACAAGTTTATCATGGCCCTAAATAGCCCCAGTTCTCGATCGGCCATTGAACAAAAAACAACACTCATGTGCGTTATGCATACAAACATGTGCATTATGCATATAAGCATGTGCATCATACACACAACCACGTGTGTTATACATACATACATGTGCATTGTACATACAATCATATAAGTTACACGTACATATTTACAAGTATATGTGTTATTCGTACATCCGTGTGCGTTATGCATGCATATGTACAGAAATATGTGTTACACATACATGCCCGTTCTTTATGCATACATATGTATAGACATATGTGTTACACGTTCATGTACAGGCATATGCGTGCGTTATTCCGTCTTTGCGTATTGCAGAGTTATCATCTCTTGGGAGCAGGTATTGATTGTTATGTCATTGGTTTGTGTGAGAAAATTACGTCGTTTGCTCAAAAATTGATGATGTTACTCTCACAAACAAGTGACGTAACAATCAATACATGCTCCCAAGAGAAGATAACTCTGCAATACGCAAAGACGGAATACATGCTTATTGAATCATGTGATGATCATGTTACTTACCAGCTGCCAACGTTGGAGACACATGGAACTGTTACCCATAGTCCAAGGAATTTTCTTTGGACGGAAAGGTGCATTTGTAGGGGACCAGTGATGTTTTTGAGGACATCCAAGTTCCCAGCAACGTCTACATTCCCGGGGACGACCACGGGGAAAGGCGTCACTGTGGCACTGTTTACATGGACGATGTTGTTGACGTCACTTCTACCATTCTCTGATTGAAAAGTTAAAAAAACATATGTTTGTCAAAAGAAGCAATTGATTTTTGACAAGTGTTTGAATTTCTTAACAAGTTCTTTTAATATTTGCAATAATATTAATTTTGTTTCTCTCAGATTTCCAGTTCACATTAAGAAAGTGACGAAAAGGCGTCTATTTGTATTTATTTCGATTTTGTGCATGCTGTGTAAATACTGTGTTATATATATAGGTATCTTAAGTTTCTTTACACTACAAAAAGAACTTTTGTGAGTTAATGTCTCAGTACGGAAATGGCTCTGACGCTCCTAAACACTTAAACGACATCTTATCCAGCCAACAGGCATGCTGCTGATATTTCACTTCACAGACGCGTCACAGAGGAAATGACATAAAGAAGCCGACGTAATCAAATGAGACAAAACGTCTATTAAAAGTACATTGAGAATGCTAGTAAACGTTTGAACGACCAATACTTTTAACAATGTCCTTTGAAAAGAAACATAGGTTTTCGAAAGCTCGCAAAAATAAGTTTTCAATTGTGTTTAAAATTAACATAGCCTTTATTATTCATACCAAACTGATGAAACTTATTCCAAATACTTATGTTTGTGTATTACGTACACCAATGTTTGTGTATTATCTATACTCCTTTTGTCTGTTGCGTTTACTTCCTATTTTGTATAATACGTTTTTTACTTTTTTTGTAATAATTATACATCAGATGTAGATACAAACTAAACTGACAAATACTATCAAAGTTATGCACGTATTTTATTCATATTTAATAAAAAATATATATATACCTTTGCCAATTGCATAGTCCTAAATCGTTTAGGATTTCTGTATTTGAAGCATTAAGAATACATTGACGCATGCTCGGCACATAAGTTCAGTATTTCTAGATATTTACATAATGTATTAAGTGATGTAGGTATATGAAGTTTTAGCTTCTGTAACATTTAATTCCTGGTATTTTTATCAACAACATAATCAACCTTAAATGGGGTCATAGCTAAGTTTTAAATGTTACCAACAATCGCTATTAAATACCGGTGTTATTAACACCTAATCAAAACGACGGTATGGTTTGCATAACAGTATGTCATATATCGTGACACGAATGGCCCTTATCACGTTTTCCAAGACCTCGAAGCGTTATCTATGTAGATCGAGCAGATGTGACACTCGAATGAAACATTTATGAATTATTAAGTTTTAGTTAAGGAAAGACATGAATAATGTTATTTAGCACTATTTGGCAAACCTTTTAAGGAACAGCCAAAGCCACGTTATAAGCTTCAGTTATTCAGATTTATTTACGTTTTGACTAACTTATATAATTTCATAGTGGGTTAAAATTGGCGTATCTAAAGCAAGATAAACACCAAAAGGCCACAACAACGTCGAACAGTAGCAGATAGGTAATCTAATATAAAATGGCCCTACATAAGTTACCTCCAGCTTGTACTCAATAGCATTATTTACATATAAACAGGTCCACGTTTCCCGAGCGGTCCTTAACTTACTAAAATTTCTTACGTTTTTTCAATGAAAAGCTTTAATGAATATTTCCCTTGGGTTCTACAACCTTTTCTAATGGAAATTAATGTTTTGTATCTCCATGAAGTTAAAATCGGGCCTGATCAATCATTCAACAAGGCTCTTTACCATATGATAATCTAAGACAAATGATAATATTGTGGGTTAGGAATACTGTAATGGAACTGTATTTTTATTTCTCTGTTTCAATATACATCTATATTTGATTCGTCATGTTTGCCACATAGTTTGGTAGTGATAACATTGTCATACAATATACTGTAAACAAGCTGTCGACATAGTGGATGCGTTGCTAGCTGTCATATGCAATACTATAGATTAAACGAAATGAAAGCAGTAGCATAACATATCTGTTGATGATAGTTATGCGTTTCGTATAAATATACTACTAGTCTGTATTTTGTATACACCGATTCTGTAATATCATGTAACCTCTATCCCATAATACTCTCTTGGTAATAAAGATGGCTACCTGCTAGTCTTGCCTGTAACACGTGTTTGTGTTTGTGAGAGTTCTCCTGTCAGTAGAACCTCCCAGAACTCAACGATTAACAATATCTAAGAACAAAACATCAGCATTTCTTAAAGTGAGATTAAACATTATATATCTTTTCTGGAGAAACCCTTGATATTTAATTCAACTTCATATGATTGCAAAACGGACCGGCTATAAGTGGTCACATTAATTTCCATTAGAATACCAACAGTTTGTCGGATCGTTCTTCTTTGAAGTTCAACAAATTTTGTTTATTTAGCGGTGAAATTAGCTTTATTTCTAATGACCAGAGGATAATTGATTTCTGAAAATGCGATTCAAGATGTTCTAAAGCTGATTAGATATGTGAATTTGCAGTTCTAAATACGCTTAAAGGTGTGGTCATTGTTCCTGATATCATTCTCACTAAGGTCACCTGAAAGTAAAATTTCTCAGCATCGATTCCAGCATAATTTCTTCTCCGTTTGTAAGTTATGTATTTCAATTTCCTCTCGTAATTTGAAACTTCAACATTTGAACTATAGCATTGCTAGCTGGTGGTAAATTTAAACACACGATTTGGAACTTCTACCGCTATTTTATTATGTGTTTATTGTCCCTATTTTCAGTAAGAAATCCATAGATTATTTTCGATGTATGCTAGTCTTATGTGTCCTATTTGCACTACTTCTTGATTGGTTGGTGCTTAAAAAGGTTATATATTACCCAAGAGGCTCGTGGTTTAGATTAGAAACAATTTTGTGTTCAATTCTGTTATATTTGCAACCTTTCAGATTATGAATCACAAGGATAAACGTTTAGTCTTATAATGTTACAAGCCTCAACAATATGTTGTAAATCCCTTGGTAGATAGCATAGGTGTGTGACCTTTAACAGGACAGGTGACACCTAGTAGCAAGATGTCATTGTGTCAAAGGTCATTATTCCTACCATTAGTAGGGATGGGTGAATAAGACGTGAGGTATTCTGATGTTTTCTGACTCAATATGATATTGATAGTTTTCTGTTTAAATACATGCAATCTGTTTCTGGACATACATATATTTATTGATATACAACCCTTTTCGCTTACACTATATTCTTACATGAGTATACACATCCACCCTTTAGTCCAAAATATTTTTTCACATCCTAATCAATTTTAATTGTCGTTTTAAATCCCGAAATCCTAGTTATTCGTTCACCCACTAATTCAAGCTATTCGTTCTACCTCCAATCATAGCTACTTGTTCACCCACCAAGCTAAGATACCCATTCACCCTTTAATTCTACCTATTGAAGCTACTCTTTCACTCACCAGTCCTAACTTATTAAAAATTGTGTTCATCCACCAATCCTAACTACTCGTTTAATCTCCAAACCCGGCTTCTTGTTAACACCCTCAAATCCTAGCTTCTCATTCACCTTCCAATCATAGCAACTCACCCACCCTCCAACCTTAGACACTCTTTCATCATTCAATAATAGCAAATTGTTCACCGTCAAATCTTAACTACTTGCACCACTGTCAATTCGTAATTTAACGAACTAACATTGTCTTATCAAAGCTAGAGATAATAACTCACGTTCCAGTCAGCGTGTATATCTTTGTTTTTCATGAACTAATCATGAGAAACTGAAATTAGCAATCAGTCCTTAATGCAAATTTACACCCTAACAAAATAACGCGAAAGAAGTATTTTATAGTATTGTCACTGTTTAATGTTTAAAGTACTTTTACAATTTTAACCAATGTGTTTTCTGATATGCATTTCATTTAATGTATGAAAATCTACTAGATTTATAAGCATGTTTGTTTTACGATCAATTCATGGAAATACAAAATTAGAATTAGGTCGCAAGCTTTATTGAACAAAATCAATCAAAGTCGCTCTTACAAACAATAGCAAACATGGAACAAGGCAATTAAATGTGTAACGTTTGAGAACATTTGGCGTCGTCCATTATCGATTCAGTACTTTAGATGTCACATTCCTGTACCACCAGTGTATACTTATTTAGAATATTTGATCGAAACACAAAATGAAATTGTATAGTAAGAAAACATACAACATCAAATATATTAAAAAAGAAATTAGTATATATGTTTTCTTACATTAAAAGAAAAGAAAATTAAGAGAAAATCTTACTCATACAGTCTTGGATGTGGAGTGACGTGGCATGACACAGTAGACAGGCGATGACTGTTACAACGCCGAGGTACGCCATGATTGACTGAGAAATTCTCTGACAATGACCTTAAGATCCTATCTCACGTATATATACCTCTGTAGATAGGCGTCAACCTGGTCATGGTTTTCACAGAAATCGGTGAACTTGACGCGTATACACTGGACAGACACCTTTCTAGATACTGACTTACGTGACTCACGTGTTAAATATTACTATATGCACGAACACAGTATTATGTTTTAATAAACCGATATTAACAAATATGACATGTATTTTACTCAATTATGGCAAAATTAAAATGATCGCAACCGCATGAACAACTATACTTAATAACATAATTTGATAATTACTTGGTATTTTACTTTCGATTTTTCAATGTAAAAGATACCTCTGCATTCTTCATCAGCTTCATATCATAACATACACAAGAATGACCATCTTACAAACCACATCCTATAACCAAAACGAGGACTTTTATTTAACTATCTTTGACTTTACATTCCCAATATCCCAATAAATAAAACATCACCTTCCCCTATTTATGGAATGTGTATCTTACAGTTAAGTTGGGTTTCGGCCGTTCTGTATACAGGCAATCTGTTGGACAAGTTAGCCATCGACTCAGGTTTCTCTGCCTTTAAAGACTTCAAACTACGAGTCTATATTTTATCTGTGTGTGTCGATGCTTTGGTATATTTATCCGTTTCTTTTCCATTTTACCAAATGAAGCAATGTTTACCTCCTAACGTGAATGATCTGAAGCCGATACACTTGCAATAATCACTCGAAAGAAAGAAAGTAAGGTCGAACCTTCGAAAAGAATTGACGTAGAAAGCCAAAAAAAAGTAAATGTTTAAATTATTGCCAAATGTGATCATTTCGTCCAACTAGAATTCATCAGTGATACTTTAAAAGTATCAACGACTTGTACCTAAAATTTTCCGAATCACAGTCATTAAACAGACAGGAGGGCCTTTAAAGTACTTTATTACATTTTGAATTTATATGGCTTTTTTTGGCTACAATTTCTTTATGAATTTACTTTTGAAACCGCATTAAAGTAAACTGTGCCGGAACATATTAGTTACCAGGTCACGGCCAATCTCCAGGACTGATGGTCGACCAGTCAACCACGTGCACGTTGTGGTGTAAAATAATCACAAGAAATAAGGTGGTCAATATTACATTGACCATTTCGAGAACTGAATTCCTGAAAATGTACGTCACTGGCCGGATTGACTGTGTCTTTTTGCATGTAAAATAATAATGATATACTTATATACAGTACTTCCTGAATGCAAATACCAGTTAAATTGATAGGGTGTACTGTACGTCACGCTAATGGAAAGCGTGGACTGGTTCTATTCACTTAAGTTGTAATTTACGCCTACATATATTTGTGAGAAACTGATTAACATGATAATACAGTCCATGTTTCCAGTATAGCCTTAAGGTAATAGGATTGTGTCACCATTTCTCACTAGAACTTCTTAACATTTTGTAGTTATATTGCTCTGAAATTAAGAAAAAAAAATATAGGTTGTCATAATTTCAAGGAATTCAAATGGAAATTTATGTAAAAAGGAGTGACTTTTGAAAACAAAATGAAAGACACAATTCTTTGCAAAATAATGTCAATAAAAATGATACTGCCATAGATTAGTATTGCATTACTGTATATCAATTTAATAAATGCTGAAATTATGTCAAATAAATTATCTGAAAACGATTAAAAATTGACATTTTTATAATAAAACCATATGCACATAGTAATTGCAGGTAAGAGTTATCTTTCTTGAAAAACTTCACAGTAGTGAAATAGGTAGCCGGTTTCCTGAAGTACAGAAAAATGGATACATTTGGCTCATTGATAAAAAAACCCAACTGTATTAATGCCTGCATTGCTTTGAAATACTTTAATTCTGAGAGAAAACACTGTTCTGTCAATAATAAACATACAATATTCATCAGTTTAATATTAAACATGAGAATATGCGGAAATTGTGATACTGTCTCCCTACATTGGATTTTCAACACTAGAGATGTACTTCCTACTTCCGTTTATCAATACACTCGTATGACCTTAACATGTGCTGACAAGAGCCATGGCAATTACGATCACACATAACAACATGGTATTTTTTATTATAGGAACTAACTGATGAGATGTATTTGTGCTATCAGTCGTGCAATCCATGTAATAAGACTAACATTTAATCAAAACTATATCTTATCGTTATTTTCATTGTTTTTTAAATAAAATTGATCTGTACACGTTCCTGCAGTGATTTGAACTTCATAGTTGTTATTGTAAATGATGGTGTTTAATAAATATGTGTGTTAACATTGAATTGTCCGGCATAAGATATATTCTTTCCTTGCTTTATTGTTAAGCTTTTTAGATGTATATCTCAATCTAATCTTAACTTAAACGAAACAAATATTTCTGTAAACACTGTCTAGAATTAACATCAAAACGAAACTTAGAATGGATTGCAAAATAAAAACGATCAAATTATGGTAAGTTTGTTGGGGAAAAAAGATGATTAAAATTTCACCAAATGTGTTCCTCATTTAGCTAATTAGTCTCTGCCCAACTAGCTAATAACTGTCAGAGGAAGCTGTGCAAAGATAATGGCATTCTTCTTATTGTTTTGGAATTTCCATCACAGAATCTGGCAAAGCAACCTTCTATTCATGAAGCTGTGTAAGCTATGTTATTGCATTAGACAAGACATCTTAGATATGCCACATACTAACATGTATATCCTGACGGCACATAACCCACAAACGTAAACAATTACCGTGTATATAGGACAAGTTGTATTCTGTCTCTGCTGCAGTGAGCTAAGATTGTAATATCTATATTTGTGACTTTAACATTTAAAGGTTTTACATAAATGAATGTCAACGCTCGATATCCACTTAGAGGACTGTCTCCCTAAATCCACTTAGATGATTGTCTTTCCCTAAATCAACTTAAAGGATTGTATTTCCCTAAATCGACTTAAAGGATTGTCTTTCCCGAAATCCACCTAGAGGATTGTCCTCCAATTGACGCTTGCTTTAATATTTAGAAACCTAAGATGGCACGTTTAATATTTTTTGTACAAAAGGATTCTGATTAAATACTTTTATTAAATAAGGTTTGATAACTGGACATCTACTCGAAAGTTTTGATAGTGAAAAGAGATGTTCTTTATGTAGACAACATATGTAAATTTGGTACGTTTTAATTAGTTTGCAACAATACGAACAAATCACGGAGATTTTATACTGAAAACCGAGTCAAATCAATACAAAATCTGCATCTATATTGAACTGTCTTTGATACATTATTCCTGTTATAGTCTTGAAAATAATTCAATGTTTTTGTACACTAGCTACAGAATAATACTTTGGACTGGTTGATTTATGTAGTTCTGCATAGATTTTCATTTGCTTTAAGGCAGACGTGCATTGAATTTCAAAAGAAAAGATTTAGCTTGTTCACGGTTGTGAAAATAAAGTTGCTGACTTTTGGCTTTTATCATAAGACTAATATTTATTGTATTTGATTAAATTTTTGAAAATCGTGCAAATCATGCATATGAATATATACATATATATACATATTTACATACAGGGGACTGGACCTGTAATGTGTTAGTCATTTGTTATCATTTTATCTGCTTACTAGTACAATATGTATATTAGCTACAAAATATTGACCATATACCGATATAGTTCCCTGTAAAACACTTAAGTTAAATTTCCAATTAATCTTTCTCTACGCCTATCAATTTGAAGATGAAATTTCGTTTTGTGTCAGCTGTTTTCGCTGTTGTTACAGATACTATAGAATATATAAATAAACACGACAAATGATAAATTAGTAAATTTTGCATTTAAACACAAGACAAAAAAATTACAACATACAAAATATTAATAATTTTCAACTGAAAAAAAAATAAAGGACAGGTCAGTTGCGCGATAAGCGGAAATCCACAGCGTAGCAAGCCTTTAAGTCGCCTGTGTCTTGGTCTCTCAAACGTGCCTTGACCCAGTACCTTCCCTGTAACATATCAAAACAAATACGATTATTCAATACCATAACTCACACAAAAACTAATATTGATATCAAAGAATTTTCGTTAATGTAAGCAATAATTTTCGATATTTATTGTATCCTATCATCGACGTTTGATCCATTCCGTGCGGCTAACATTCCTGGAACTGTCACCGCTCAACGCTGCTAATCAGTAGTCTATTCCGTCTTTGCGTATTGCAGAGTTATCTTCTCTTGTGAGCAGGTATTGATTGTTACGTCATTGGTTTGTGTGAGAAAATTACGTCGTTTTCTGAAAAAAATTATGACGTTACTCTCACAAACAAATGACGTAACAATCAATATATGCTCACAAGAGTAGATAACTCTGCAATACGCAAAGACGGAATAGAGTGAACACAAAGTTCCAACTCACTATTGCACAAGACGATAAACACCACATTATATAACCTCACATTTAACAAACGTGTCTAAATGTACAAATAATTCAACATATTTATGATTACAAAGTTAAATGATACACTCTCTGTAATGCATTAGGATATCTATATACAGATATCAGGAATGTTATACTGTCCTGATCTTTCAAAGGAAGATGAATTAATTATTTCACGTTTTGAAAAATATACCATTCCAAATTAAAAATTAACTTTAAAAAAAAACGTAACAAAATAGAGCAAAAAAATATTTTAAAAAATCTTCTGAAAGAAACTTTTAGCCTTTTTGTTGTTAATGTATCTGATATTTAGGGGCGGGAGGAGAATATATCGTCCCAGGACTTTAAGTTTTTGTTTTACATTAAGGGGGGCATGTTTCCCCACAATGTAATAAAATAAGTATTAAAGCGCACCGCTTAATCTTTCATTTTACGTGTAGGTTTTGTTTATTGGTTAAGGGTTGCTACGATGGTAAAACAATGGATATATTTGTAGAAATGACTTTGTATTACGAACATAAGGAACACCGTCTGGTTTGATGACGTTAAAGGAGGACAATGGCAGTGTGTATCGGCCCTGGGTGAAGGGACATCGGCACGGTATGCCAGCACTCGCCAACTGGGAAGGGCAAGCTGTCGTTCCGTCTACTTCCAGGAACTCCGTGTTTAACAAGTCACACAAACGGTGAGTACTGAAAAGAAAATGATAGCTAGAAATACGCATAAAGGGAGCGTCGATTCGTAAATTTTGTAGATGCAGAAACCAATTAATATATATAGTGTCCAACTATACAACATTCAAAATCCTCATAAATATGGATTTTTTTTTTCTTTTCCGGTAAATAATATTATTTAATCTTGCAGCAAATAACCTGTTTTGCAGTTTCGGACCATAATTATCAGCTTTTGTAATGTGATAATTAATTAGAACAATTATCACATTTTGCGCTATTTAGACTGGTCGTACGATGGTTAAGTAGAACGCAACATATATCTATATTTATGCACTTTCCGTCCTGTCACATAAACAACCAAAAGAACATATGAGTGAAAAAGGTCACCGTTTGGTGACTTTTAATATATTTTCAAACAAATAATACCCAAACATGACGATGTCAAACATCTGACAAGTACAGCATAGAATTATCATATATAAAGTAAAACAAATACATTAGTTGGTGGCCATAAGCCTTAGTGGGGGTTGGCAAACTCCGCCACTTATATATTGTGTTAAAATGCATTTCTCAAAAAGAAGAAGAGGGGAGGAAGTAGGTGGGTTAAAAACTTCGGAAGGTATACCAGACTAGGTCTGTACTTAGAATGGTTAACACAATAGTTTTGCACTGTGTGACCTTTTTGTTTACAAATTTTCTCAATGGCGCGCTGTTTACAAATTATCTCAATGGCGCGCTCAATGCAGATTACCCACAATCCTCGGCTTTTAATTCAAGGCGATTAACTCTTCCTTCCTATCCCTAGCTTTTGTGCATGGGAGACAACTCTTCGAAACCTTTTTTTTTTTTTTTATTTTATTTATTCAAATAAAGTGGTTATGTGCACGACTCCAGATGCATAAATTAAGCTAAGTGCTTAGCTGCCTTTTATATGTATTTACACCTAAATGTGGTATGTAGGTTTCAACCTTGCAATTTCTTTATTAAAAGCGGATCAGTCTTATTATTTTTTAAAGATAACATTTATTTAGTATGCCTACAGTCAGTTGGAATTGAAGTGTATAATGTATCGAATGCAGTCTGCTAGCTTGTTATAAAGTTAGCTTTTATTTTCAAAAAGCCAATAACGATGCTTACAAATGCAGAACACCAGCGAATACCCTTAGACCACCCCTTGCGCTAACATCCGGGCCAACAAGAGTGATTAATATAAGTTGAAATAACCTGTTTCATAATTGTTGTAAATCAGTTCTTTTTATTTAAGTGATATTTCTATTCAAAGTATCATTTTCAAATATACAGGTTTTGCAAACGTCGGGACAAATTATTCAGGCATATAACTTGACATGATGAACTTCCTTAAATATATATTTCAACGTTTTTTCTCACCTGTATTGTTTTACGTCCCTATAATACAACGCACACCTGTTGATATTTTCTTTGAAAACATATTTATAATAAAAAGAAAATATCGTTAAAGTTTACCTCCGATGTGCTGTTACCCAGACGAACCAAATTTTCTTCTTAACAACCACAGAAAGCTCTAGCTCGCTAGTGACATTATGAAGAATGTCAAAGTTTCCGTTCACCAACAAGTTGCCAGGGGCGACAATATTCGAAGGATTTGTGTTAGCCTCTCTGACGTGGAGGATATTGTCAGGGTTGTTCCCTATATTTTAAGGAGACAATATGAGTCAAATATAATTGCAATTTAACTGATACACGAATACACGCATATACAGAACTACATGTATTCGTATATATCATTTCTATAGATAACTCAGCGCAAGGTCTGAACAGATATTCAAACAACGAACATAAAACAATAACGTTAAATGTTTTAAACTATTAAATAGAATTATTGGTGTTGAATTGCAAATCAAAAAACGAATTATAAAATTATAAAATTCATTTTCGAAAAAATGTATAATTAACAAAACACATATTATTAGCACCTCACCTGTGCTATGGTTTGTGTCATAAAACTTGTTCTAGAGTGTTTGACCTGAATATGTAATCAGAAAAAAATGCAAACCTATCTACGATTAGTCTATTTGCATTGAATTAAATGTTACGTAAACAAATATAAACATTTCAGGGGAACACAATTATAACAAATTAATACTCACGCATGCAGTTGTTGACGTAGATCGCGGACACTGGGCACAACACATATATCACAACAAGGACTGAAGCTATGGTAAACACTGAGGGCGACATCTTCGTACTCCTTGTACTGCTCAAGTATCAGACTGAAATTTTCGCAGCTAAAACAGAAAATGTGTTCATTAGCAATGTCGTGATTGTAATAATTACACAATAAATGTACTTGTGATTTACCATCTAAGAAGCTAGAAAATAAACTATACGGAATTTCGTCTTAATGTTTACCCGTGTTAAGAAATGAATCCTATCGATAATAATTTCGCGTTTCGAATGTTCAAACAGTTTAGCAATGTGGGATGTCCCCGAGACAAATTTGAATATATAATAGTCATACTTTGTCATTTTTTTCACATGTGCAAAATTTCGATTAAAGAATAGCAAAAATAATACTAATGAGATGATCGATATTGCTTGTACGTAGTTAAAGCATTGTAGCTGAGAGTTAGCTATTACCTATGAGTGACCACCTGTTACCTGTTACAGAGTCCAGCAGAGTCTGATATCGGTTTGTTAGAAACTACCAGTATGTATATACGTCCCCTGTCTATCCCATTTACACATGCTCGTTTAAAATTGTCATTCTCGGCAGGGATCAATTAGCGAGTAGTAATCTTTCGGTAAACAACTAGCTTTTAATAAGCTCAAATTTAAATAAATACACGAATAACGTCAAGGCACATATATTTACCTCATACCTTTTTGTTTCATTACAGTTAGGGTCAATTACATTTTTTGAGATACTACTACGTTTCCTAACAACAACATTCCGTTCCCACATAAAGGTTTTGCGTTCCGATACTATAGTACTACGTTTCCACATGACAACATTCCGTTCCCACATACAGGTTTTGCGTTCCGATACAATAGTACTACGTTTCCACATGCCAACATTCCGCTCCCACATACAGGTTTTGCGTTCCGATACAATAGTACTACGTTTCCACATGACAACATTCCGTTCCCACATAAAGGTTTTGCGTTCCGATACAATAGTACTACGATTCCACATGACAACATTCCGTTCCCACATAAAGGTTTTGCGTTCCGATACAATAGTACTACGTTCTCACACAACAACATCCCGTTAACATAAAGGTGTTGCGTTCACATACCATAAAGTATTGTAAAGTAAAAAGCTATTGCGTTATAAAACAATTAAAATTTGTTAAAATTGGAAATTGAAAACTGTTTAAAGGTGACAACTAACATTACATAAACGAAACATTACATCGGATGACGGCTATATCTGTGACGTACGACATTGACCCAGAGATTGACTCTAGAACAATAGTTGAATTCAACTCAATGTTTATTTAATATTTTCGTACATACCGTTCATGCGTAAATATACTTTTTAAGTAAACCAACTCTGTGGCGAATACATTATGAGGAACGACTCCTATGAAATGAGAAGATTAATCTAAAATTCATATGATGCCACTATCATATTGCAATTTATCAAATCATGGTCCTTGAGAATGGCGGATGCAATCGTTAAATTTGTCAGTCAGATGAAACAACTAACTTGTTCGTCCGACCATTTAATCGAGCGATCAGAGTTTGACCGAATGGTTAATCCTGTAGAGGAACTTCCTGTGTCTTTATATGCTGTCATATTTGCTGCTCATGTTATACATCGTAATTTATGCTTTATAAATCATCAACTAGGGTTGTTCCTGTGAAAGTGCGTTTCAATATTTAACTTTTATATTATGCTATTTCTATATTCGGTGAATTCGGTGAAACCTCCGACTTTTCTCTGGAAGGAATGAAGCCGACCTTGAGTAAGAGTTTCAGAACCAACCGGGTGACCTGCACCAGAGACTCTCTCACTAGGTGGAGCATGAGGGAGTCGTCGAAATAGATGTGAACATCTATTCCTCGAGAGTGCAGGAATCCCACGACCACCTGCAGCAGCTTGGTGAAAACCAAAGGTGCAGTCGTGAGCCCGAACGGCATGGCCCGGAACTGGAAGACCTTTCCGTTGCAAGTAAAACGGAGGTACTTCCGTGCCTACTTCTTGATGGGGATGTGGAAGTAGGCGTCCTTCAGATCTACTGAAGTCGACCACATTCCCTCTCTCACGGAGGCGATAATACCCCGAGGAGTCTCCATCTTGAAGTGAGGAGAATCTACGTGCTTGTTGAAGGCACTTAGATCTATGATGGGACGCCACGCCCCGGACTTCTTCCGAACCAGAAACATTCTGGAGTAGAACCCGGGAGTGCATCCCGACATAGGAACCTCCTCGACCGCGCCCTTGGTAAGCATGGTCCTTACTTCCTCCTGGAGCGCCAGAGCCTTTTCCGGATCCCCCGGTGGAGGAAAAAAGATTGGCTCCGACGCTAAGGGCGGATCCCGCACTAGCGGAATGCCTAACCCCTCCTTGATCCAGTCTGGAAGGAAAGCAGAAAGACAACCCCCCCCCCACACACACACACACAGGAAGATCTGGTCGAGGCAGATCGAGACCTTGCCAGGCAAGAGAATCGTCTGCTGACCCGAAGCCTAATCCTGCGGGAGAAGGACCTAAGCTTGAGCCGAGAGGACTGCAGTCCTCCCGGCCAAACTCGTGGTCTGACACGACCAAGGAGGGAAGAAGAGAGTCATTCACATACTAAAGTTATGGTAATTATTACTGAAATGAAACTATGCTTTATAAGTCATCAACTAGGGTTGTTCCTGTGAAAGTGCGTTTCAATATTTAACTTTTATATTATGCTATTTCTATATTCGATGAATTTGTCATTGTTTGATATATTGTATTACCATGGTAATGCTGCCTCTATTTTTTTAAGTGCGTTAAACCTCCTGTTAACATATTTGAAAATCACGTATCAAATTGCACTTTGAAGTAATTTTGACCTGTGCAACTTTCTTAGGTCACAAAAATGTCGACTTTCACATAATACACAAAACGAGCTTACTTTTCTATTGGTATTGGTTAAGTTATTTTAAAGAAAGTATTCGCAATACATGTTATTACTAGGCAACTAAACCAAACAATCCAAAAATTAGGAACATATGTTTTGACCCGAGACAAATGCAGGAGAGTACAGGTTGACGTCACATGTATATATGAATGCGGGCGTGAGGATGAGGAGTACACCGTTGGTATGCGTACACTGATGTTCTGGAGTAGGTGTAATGTGAATTGGCAGTGATACTGTCGTAGTAACAGGTCAAGTTGATGCAGGTTATTATGTGCACGGTAACGTTTTGGCACCTTATCGCTATATCAACAGTACCAACACTGCCGTTGTTTTAACCTTGTTATTTACATACAGATTGGTTTATTTGTTTTCAAGGTGCATAAAATATCAAAGTTCAGCTGAAATGGGAATTATTATTTTTATTAAGCTGAAAGAACAAGATTTATTTAAGGGTTGTGGAACTGCATTTGGTTATTTACATTTAACATTCTGAATGTAATCCTATACAATATATATTATTTTTTCGGGTAAGATTCTTGCATGAAATGAACTCTTTAACACGAAGGAACAAAAATGATTTAGTCATTTAAACTAAATTAATCAACACAGTACCAGAATAGCAATATGTGATATTGTGATTTTCCTGTTTTGCTTAAATAAATGTTCTACAGGTTAAAGTAAACGTTAATGATTTTAATGGGAAAAGGTCGAGTAAAACGGTCTCATTTAGCATACATGCAATAGTGCTACATTTTACCTGCTATTTCTTTTACTCCGTTACTAGCAATGAGTTGTGAATGGGGAAACAAACCCATCAATGATGAGGATTAGTGTGGTGGTCTATTGGAAATAAATATCGTTGTTACAAAAACACGTGCACTCGCTTTTTCAAACCAGAAAAAAATAATTACACTTACTTTGATTGTTCTGATCAAGTTGAATTTTCAAAATGGTCGTTTATGACGTTAATCCAAGTATAGGTTTCCTGGTGATGTAAAAAAAAACTGAGACGACCCTGCATAAATCTACAGCACCAATGTGTATCAAGAGTAACATATATTCTACTGTGTAGTGGGGTTTCTCATTCAATACAAGGGAACTGCATTTCTATACTGTGTATAATATATGTGTTAGGCCACAATTGTGCCAAAAGCTACAGTGATATCACTACAGAGTTATAGAGTTATCGCCCTTAGTAAACGATGGCATGTCGAACGTTTTGTGTAATCATCATCGAGTTCGTAGACTAGCTTCTGTGTGTTTGTAATTATGCGTTCCTAGTTTCTCCCTTGAAGTAAAAACCTACAGTCATCTGATTTGCTGAAGTCTACAATATAAACATACCTATTAACCATTGAGACCGCCAGTATACCTGATTTATTTGTGAAAACATCACACCTGTATCGTTCACCAACCAGATTTGTTTTCATCAATTTCTTTTTCTGTGAAGGATAATGATCTGCAGTACGGTATTTTGAACACATGCTATGCTAAAAGTGTAGTTTTTATCCAGCAAAATCAGACGATTAAATCTTTCTACCAAGATACATGTGTAAAAAGAAGAGAGTTAACAAAAATATTAAGATATTTCTTAGTTACAAAGCACAGACTATAATTATGCAAATTTTGTAATATTACACTTTAAACGGTAAATCTTGTAATAAAGTCTTTTCAATTTGTGACAGCATAACACAGATGCTGTTTCATTTCATATAAAAGACTTAAATTTTGACAATCGAAATATATATATATTTTGATGATTTCCAAGTTATATTCCGATTCGATGAGTGTTCAGAAATGCTGATGATTATACAAAACGTGGTAATTGACTTGTTTTAACCTGCCCCAAACTAAATAAGGAAATATGATACGTCATCATATGCTATTTTTTGTGGAATTTGTACGTATGAGAAGAAATCACAGTTCAAAGGGCATATACGAGATACACAATTGGAATATTCTATGAAATCCAAGATAGAAGAATAAGTTTGGAAGTAATAACATATTCAGAACTATATTTTAAAAAATAGCATAGTGCTTAAAGGTAAACAAGAGTTTTTGGACTACACAAAACGTTTTAATTCGCCGAGTTTCTAAATTTTCCTTCCATTATATTCAAGCATTAAGTGAAAGTACAACGTTATTACATCAGTCCTATTTGATCTCCCTATATTGAAACTCAAAATGATATTTTAAAAGCATTACAACACTGGGCAAAAAGACATGACAACAGAAACTACCAACACTGATAACAAGATATAATAATTTCCTACAACTATGGAAAATTTGTTAGTAAGTGAGATAAAAATATCTTATCAAACCAGTCTTGGATGTCACTGAGGAGCAACAATTTTACTATTAGAACTATCAAAATCATAAAGCATTCCTTTAGGGGATTTTATAATCAGTTCTCAAAATAAACACATTTATAAACAGACTTAAATACGGCATGGAAAAATCAATACAACTTGTCAAATATACATGCATGTAGGAAACCGTAATAGGAAACCATGATGAATCGTATACAGATACAGTTATCATTACGGCTAAGTATCCGCTTTTTTTGTAACCGAACCGAGGACGAACGGAGGACGAACGGTTTCCAGACGGTGACGAACGCTGATCGCCCGCTAGCAAGACGCTGTGCGAACGCAGGACGCCCGATAAGGCTTGTTTTGTCGTTCGGGACAAACTCTGCTAGAACAGACGCTATTAGCCGATATACAGATGCAAAGCTGGTCGAACGAACGGTCGATGAGGCCGCTTTACCGTACTATTTGGTCGAATCACACTTATAGCTAACTCAGTCAATCTACTAAACCATAGTCTGATCTAATTCCGTGTCTAAACTGAATCCTTGACTAAACACTTGAGTTATGATGTATTTGTTTGGTAATTACCGGAGGAATCTAAGTATCAACGCATTTTAAGTGTTAAATGTTCTATAAATAAATCACTGTTGAGAATGGTAAAAAAGAATCAACAAAGGTTGTTTAAAAATACGAAAATATAAAAAAAAAAGTGTAAAACATCATTCGACAAATAAAGACATCAGTGTTTTACATTTTTTCCGAGGAAAGAAACCATACTTTCAAGTCTGCGTCAACTCCATGAAACGTTCGTAACTTCTAGCTAATAGACAGTACTATGCAGTTTTCAGACAGTTTACACACATATGTATCGTACCTGCGAAATTTTTATGGCCAGAGGATAGTTATGACCAACCCTCCAACACACACGGGTATATTTGTTTCCCTATTTAATGGAAGAAGAACGTTTTGTAAATTTGCCTTTCATTTTGTCACTAAACTCAATTTTGGTACTATCATATTTTACGTTATACATTAAAATGTATCTAAGGAAACGAATAAGATTGCAAAGTTGAAACTTTTAAATGAGTACACCTGTATTTCACCAACTTTTACCTTCTATTTCTAATTAGCATAATCGTAACTTTCGGTGAATGGGATACTTTTTGACTGTGACGTCACAAGTTAAACGGCAATAGAAGCCAGCATGGAAGGATTAGGCGTTGACGAGAACAACGTCAGGTTGCGAACTAACATGAGATTTTGAGGAATCAGATTATGGTGAGAATGACATCATATGCAGATGGCATCTTTCAGACAGTGGGTTAAATGGAAACCAAACTGACGAATCAGAGGAAGGTTACACATACTGGTAGCATTGCATTACCAGTTTCTGAGCACTAATGAGAATTTTGTTGATTAAATGAATATGATAAATAACCGCGTATGTACTGTTAGTGTATTAGGTAACTCTGTGTCTGAAAATAGTACATGTATGCATACAGCCAACTTAACATTTTTTTACAAAGAATAAACTTTAAATTTCTTAATGTCAACTGAAAATGAAAATAAAAATGATCATTATGCTATTTTTTATGAAATTGTTGCATAAAATGTATAAAGCCAGCATGAACTCTATGATTGCATACTCATAAACATGAATGTTAATTGATGTACTAATGTTCATTTATTGATATAAATTTTACACAATGCTTCCTGATTTGAAAGCATTAAAATATGATGTGTATTGTTTCTTTTTGCTAACGTATTGAATAAAACTCGCTTTAACTGCAACACCTGTTGCCCTGTTGCTACAAAAGTACGGACCATAAACGTCTATTTCATGGTCCGTTGACCTATTTTATTGATGCTGGCCTTGGGTGTGATATCAATTAGTGTCAACTATTCCACACCTTTTGGAGGGTCGGGTCGGGTGGGGTGGGGTGGGATGGGATGGGTTGTCGCTTAGGAAGTGTAATAGTACCATACAACTCGAATCACCAGTCATTCATTCTATATAACCTAATCCTTACGGTTTATCAGTACAGTTCAGATATACAGTGCAAATTATACAGCACAGTACAGTACAAACAAAGCATACAACACTTCGACCATGCATGCATGATAAAATAAAAGCGATATTGTAGAGAGTGATTTCTTTCAGCTTTAACAGTATTGAATCTGCGTTTTTGACTTTGGCTCAGACATTTTGATAAATTAGACAGTTCTGTGTTATACGTTGTTGTCATCACCTCTAAAAAAGAAATGCCGTACTTGGTTTTATATGATAATAGTTTTTAATGAAACGGTTTCTTAAATCAGTTTAATGACTACATTTAACAATACAATGATGTTTGTCTTAGATATCGCCACTGCTGCAATATATAGAAATTCTATCTTTTCTTTCCTAATCACATAATCACAATGTGCGATGACAACCGAATTTTAGCAATTTGTTTGTATATTTTGAAAACAAAAAGGTTTAATTAAATAGTGTTTAAGGCAAACATACCACAAGTCCATTTATAAAGAGAACACTAGCAGCTGAATAAATTCAATAATAATATTTAGAATTTGACCTAGAGAGAGAGAGAGAGAGAGAGAGAGAGAGAGAGAGAGAGATTTTCATGGATTTTTTCTTTATCGTGATATATATAGTGATGTTATATTATCTATCATAACGCATTGTGATATATCAGAGTGCACATACATGAAAACAATCAAATGTTTCTGTCTTCTGAACAACAGATACTTACGCGTGTAGAAAAGATTTCTCAAAATGTTATAGCTGTATAGCTGAACTAGGATACCCTGCCCCCCCCCCCCCCCCCCAAAAAAAGATATCAACATATATTAGCAAAAATAAATAGTTGATATATCAGAGTGTTACATGTAATCTTATGTCTGTGTTTAGTAAGGAATGCGTTTAGCCGATTTGTTTATTAAATAGTAATGCTTCTTTTAATGTTAACATGTTTGCTTTGTTCGCATCATATGAGTATATCATTTGTTAATTGTACATTGAATTAAAGTAAAAATCAACCGTTACAAAACCGGGCTATCATAGATGTTAATGATATCGAATGCATGTGCAAAACAATATTCTTATGACGCACCTACACAAAACATTCCATAACAATAGGAACATACATTTTGACCTGGTACAAATTACAGAAGAGGCAAGGTACACAGTACATGCGGTCGTGTTGATGGGCACTGCATTGGTATGTGTATAGTCTGATACTGATGTGTCGGTGTACATGTACTTTGAGTAGGCGGTGCTACTATCGTAGTCAAAAGTCAAGTAGAGGTGGGGTCAATTGTCGTGGCTTACCACTGCCAGCGATGGTGTTGTTTTGACCTGGTTATCTATATATACATATAAATGAAGGACAATGAACTAAGATTTTTAAAAGTTAGCAAACATATGCATCAATGTTCTAAAGATGATTTTCAGGTGTTACCTATTTACAAACTGAATAGCGACGATGTAGTTGCAAGAGAAATTAAAGAAAATATGTTTATAAAAGTCCTCAAACCCAGCTTGAATGCACAATGATTTTTGCAATGTATTGTATGTAGATGTTTTCTTGTCTCGGAATTGTTTGTGACGTCACTATGCTTGTTTATTTATGACATCACTAAAATTGTTGAATATACAAATATTGATGACGTCATGTAACCAACGGTGATAAATAAACATCAATCCGCCTGAATCAGCCCTAGAAGGCAGAAAGGCCTAGCGGACGATCTGAAAAATTTATGTTTTTATTCTATATTTTCCTTCGCAAGGACTTATTTTTTTATTATCTACTATATATATTTTGTATGTTTTGCAGGTGAATGAAACCGTTAAAGTTAAAACTTAAACTAAATTAAGATTATGAATTTAAGTACGGATGTTCATCTTTATGTTCACACGCTTCACTAGTAATTTATCTGATGGAGGCGACGGGTTACTTACCATACAAGTCACACATAAAGACTTACTGGTTGTGCTACATAAACCATTTCTACAATTCATACTTACCAACCTGATGAATGATGTTTAGACTAAATGCTTAGTGATTTAAACTGTGTTATACCAATTTCACTCTCACACGGGATATATTCTACTGATTATCATTTAACGGAAAGTATCACGATACAAACACGCATTTAAATCCTGGTATTGTATTGTCATTTACGGTTGTTTTTTTTTATCAAATAACACAGATTTTTCTCCGATCTGACCGGGACTAATTTATTTTTACTCTATCCATCAGGATACCATTTTTGAATTATCAACAGTAACATGATGGTACATGTAGTAACAACTATTGCATGGCACGACGTATTGTAACATCATTGTTTACCAACAGAGATACAATCGCATGAAATAAATTGTTTAGAACAGTATAGACTTCTGACACTATAACGTATGCTACGCATACTGGGTAATCATTTGTCACCGAATAGAACACTTGAAACAATAAGGTACATGTTATAAAGCGTAAGAGATGGAATGAACTGCTTGTTACTAGGGGTTTGCCTCAAAGAGTGTGACTAATTAACTGTCTGTTCACTAGGCTGTGCCAGCTATGCTACTTCCTTAGACAAAATGTATCAGGTACTGGCTAGTAATATCTGACCGTTTCTGACTCACCAACGTAAACAATTAACATGAAAATATGTATATGTGTATTTTGTCACTACTGCTGTGAGCTCAGATCGAGATAGTTATTTTGTAACTTACTTGGTGTATATGTATTGGCCTGGACATTACTTTATCACAATGCTCGACATTCACTTAACATTTGATATATGTTTTACAGATTTAGAAACCATGCTGCGAACAACGATGAAAGAAACGTTGGAAACTGGCTTTTTTTCACTTAAAACTTTTGAAAAAGAAAAAAGAAAAAAAATTACTTTGATTGTACTGTATGGTTATATCAATATACAGTTATAAACAATTGATAAAAAGTGTTTAAGTAATCAACTATGATTTTAATAAAATAAAACTGCAAGTTGCTGAAGATTTGTAGGATGATCATTATATTCAGTTGAGATACATTCTTTTCGTAATTATATTGCAAATTGTCTAGCGGTATTTTAGAAAATCAATGAAAATAAAGCCACCAACTTCATCACTAAATGTGTACACAGGTGGGTACTGGTTACTTGTCGAGAAGTAATTGCAGAGCTTTTATTTTGGAAATACCAGTACTGAATAAATATATATTTGTTTTGCATCCCGTTAACAACCATTCGTAAATGATGAGCCCGTTTTTAAGTATTTTTTAATTTTTTTCGTAAAATAATTTTTTCATATATCTACTCCTTAACCGTTTTCATTCACATTTAATAAAGAAAATATTTCCAGGGCTTACAATATAGACTAGTATTTATCGCATACTTTTATCATATAAGTTGACTTATTATTTTACACGTTTACAACTCCATGGAAATATTTTTAGTTCATTCCTGCTAAAATGACTAGATTCTTGATTACATCGACTTTACAACGCATCAAACATATGTTAAGCCAAACACATATAGTCAAAGTTCCCAACAGACAAACAGCATTAAACAAGCGCTCTCTCAGGATACCACGATACCATCATCACTCACAATGTAGATTACTGTACAGTATGTTAATCGTTTAAGGGTCTGGTGAGTATTTTCAGAAACCGCTTTTAAGATTTCCTGTTGGTAGTTTCCTAATACAGATCTGACAGATATATACCACGTTATACCAGGCCATTGACATTCCAATGAATGAGGAAATATCATTACAGTTTGATAAGCTTCACATCTTAATTGGCTGTAAGTTTTACGAGGGCTAAACAGGACCACACGTCTTAACATTTTGATTGAATGGAGTCAAAATATTTTGCCGACCTGCAAAGTGTATAGTGTATACATTGCTAAATAACCATAGCTAATTATTCAATAAAATGATGAAATGATGAAATGAAAAGCTTACTAAGATTGCGACAAATGAACGCTGACAAAATGTGGACTTTACTAGTGTCGCTACTGTTTCATCGTCTAAATACATAAATTTGATTATTTTATCATGTGTTCAAGGCAAACATCGGGTTTGGATTTTGCGATTTAATATACATGTTAATCATATCATATTAATTCGGAATGTCTTTGTTTCGTGGTAAGAACAAAGAAGAACCATAAAGCTTTCGCGTTTCCCGTCCCATTTTACTGCGTGTGATAAAATGTTTGCTTTCTATGTTTGCCGATATTGCTTTTTCTCGAACGAAGGGAAAATTAAACACTTGCAGTATATACCTGAATATAAGTATACCTATTCCCATGTAATAATCCGTTTAAGCCCGTGACAGTGATTATACCTCAAACTGGTGGTGAATGAGCCTCGGCTAATATTTAAAATATTGAAAGTATCATATGAGTATCTATACAAATTCGATCATATTCGATTATAACCTTGCCTGGTATTTGTTTCAGTATGAACGCCATCATCCTCGATATGCAGGGGTTACGCTCACTTTCGCTCTCTACACCCCTGGAATATGTCATAGCGTAACCCTTGATATCGAGGATGCCCTGGAATATGTCATAGCAAAATTGAAGGCACGAAAAAAGCTGTTTGATCGATGTCGGGTGAAAAAGCCAGACCAGTCGCTAGGCTGATACCTGTCCTTTGAAGATTACAAAGGAGAGACGCCCGACTTCAAAGCCTGTCAATTTTTACCGTTACGTGACTGCGAGATTCTTTTGATGTACAACAAAGGATCTAACTAGTATTATTGTCTCATCAACAAAGTGGCACAAACCAAGCCTTCAATTTTGCTACGACATATTCGAGGGGTGTAGAGAGCGAAAATGAGCGTAACCCCTGGATATCGAGGATGGAACGCCATTACATCACGTATAATTGAATAACACTGAACTCTTGCGTCAATTTTATATATACACCGAAAATATGAACAAACACGACACATACTGAACCAAATGATTTTATTTGAAATATAGACCATGAATTACCAAGTGTACAATCAAGAATAATGTATATAGGTTTCAACTTAAAAATGTACAGACCCGAAAAAGAAACGCAAGTTCCGTTTTAGGTTGCATCTCATCATTTGGTTTTTTAAGTTGTCCTTTATGTTTTCAACAAATTGAAGATACGCATCTATTTTATTGAGTGATCCTGTAAATTGTGTAAAATTATTAACTTTTGGACATTGAAAAGAACTTCTTTGCTTTTGTAACTGTAAAGCTAATTCAGTAGCTTGATAAGTAGAATCCCATGGAGTGGCAGGCCTTCAACTCCCCTGTGTACGGGTCCGTTAAACGTGCCTCGGCCCAGTAGTTTCCCTGTAAGATAGCAAAATACATATGATTTTAGAACACCATAACATACACAAGTACTTGAAGTAAAATAATCCTTTCTGTGAATATTCTGCAAATACGGTATTGGTAAGAATCAAAATTTGCGCTTTATACTGTATCGGATCACCGAATGTTGTTTCATAATTTCAATTCATTTTCAGCAACGCCAACCTCCCGGTCATGAAAATAATTAATGAAAAAGAGGATTGACCCAAAAGTAAAAAAAAAAAACTTTTCGTTCAAATATAAATTGTCAAAATAAACATCTCGAAATTATTACAAAAATAATGTTCTGGTCCTTCAAAAAAAACCTGATGAACCTCTGAATAGGTGAGGTTCATAACCTACTCATCACCTCAATTTATGAACATAACTACTTATTATTATATATCAAATCCGAATAATTAAACGTACATAGGGAACATCATCAGGCTTGATGACCTCGAAGGAAGTCCATGGAAGAGTGTAGCGACCTCGGGTGAAGGGGCAGCGACAGGGTATGCCAGCATTCGACAGTTGGGTTGGGCAGGTAGTTGTCCCGTTCTCTTGCAGGAATGCCGTGTCCAGCACATCGCACAAACTGTGAGTACTGTAAGGAAAATGAAGTGTATGATATATACTGTTATAGGATAATATATACTGTTATAGGATAAACAGTATATATTATCCTATAACAGTATATATCATCCTATAACAGTATATATTATACTATAACTCCTAAAACAGTATATATTATCCTATAACAGTATATTTTTATCCTATAACAGTATATATGATCCTATAGCAGTATATATCATCCTATAACAGTAGGATAATATATACTGTTATAGGATAATTTATACTGTTATAGTATAATATATACTGTTATAGTATAATATATACTGTTATAGGATAACATACTGTTATAGGATAATATATACTGTTATAGGATAATATATACTGTTATAGGATGATATATACTGTTATAGGATAAATATATACTGTTATAGGATAATATATACTGTTATAGGATGATATATACTGCTATAGGATCATATATACTGTTATAGGATAAATATATACTGTTATAGGATGATATATACTGTTATAGGATAATATATACTGTTATAGGATAATATATACTGTTATAGGATAATATATACTGTTATAATATTTACTGTTATAGGATCNTGCATCGTATACAGTAATCTTGGTATGATAAGTCATGTTAAAAATATCGACAAAGATATCATCGATATGTATAGTTGACATGTAATTGCTATATGTGTTTGATTTTTAACATGGACGTAACTTTAGCTTGAATAAGTCAGGTTTTGGTCTACACAAACTTGGTGTAGAATCATCTATATTCTGCCTTTTAATAACAAAATAAATCCTTAATATACCAATTTTCAACGTAAGATTAGTATGTTCTTTCTGATACAACAGTTCAAGATATCAATCTAAAAACACTGTGAGGAACAGAGTAATGAACAGTGTTTATAGTTTTTATAAGCTGTATTTTAGACGTCGTTTAATTAACGTACCTTTGTAAAAAGTATCGAAAACTTATTATAATTAGATTTCGAATATTCCGAACTATCGTAACCCCTTTCGTCTCCATATATTACAATCAATAGACATACTAGGTAAGGTAGTAAGCATGTAAACAGTATATAGGTCAATGCAGAAACAAACATTTAAATGTAATTCGGCATTTACAACTAGGGATTTGAAATACAGTTGTTACGGCAGTAGCGGATCATTGTCTACAGCGGATCACTCGGAAAACTAAATCTGTTTACATTAAAATGAGCACAGCTAGACGGAAATTAAATGTACAAACTTGTAAATATAGTTTTATTCTTGAAAGAAAAAACTGAAGATTTAGTATAATTAGTAAATTAACAGCAAAATCACGAAAACATTGTTTTGTCAATACGATGCACACCTAGTGGACGCCATGTTGGAAAACGGCCGGTTCAGGAAAAAAACTGTTTTGATTTCAAACCACATATATATATATATATTATATGTTTCTATATATAAAACTATGAACCCATACAGAGTCGGACTTCCTTAATGATATCTTTTACAGTTTCTCATTGTCTATATATATTGTATGATAATACAGGCACATAACTCGATTTTCTCTTATATAAACAAAACAGTTCTCACCTCCGGTGGCCTGTTGCCCAAAAGAACCACACCTTCTTCTTGACAACCACAGATAGTTCCAGCTCACTGTCAACATTTTGCAGAATCTCAAAGTCCACTGTCACCCGCAAGTTGCCTGGGGCGACGACATATGTGGAGCCTATCCTGGCATCGCTGACATGTAGGACATTGTCAGAGTTGTATTGACCATCAGCTATAGTATAAGGAAACAAAAGTTAAGTTACACAAACATTCAATGAGGCTGAATATATATAAATGTATACTCTAAAAGTAATCATAAAACATATTTAAAATGTATAATTAAACATTATCTAATTTAAAATTATGTAATTTAAAATTATTTGAAATGTATAATTACTTGGCCTGCAAAGGAGAAGCTACATTAACATTACTTGAAAATGATTTTGAAGGAACAAAATGAAATGGCTAATTTAAATGCTATATATAGATCAAAAAGCTATATTGAGAAGACATTTCCTCCGTATTTCATGTCATATTACTGCATTTCTATTACGACAGAAATGTATGATGAATAAAGTAAAATGTTATCTATATTATGCTTTACATTTTACATATAACACGTATCACTATTATGATTTATAAATAACAAAACGTAAAATTAAAATGTGTTCAAAAGTTAAATAATACGACAATAACGATAATTTTTTTAAACCATTATGAAGAAGCCATGGATGCTAAATTGCAAATTAAAATAATATTGTTTTTTATTTCATTTTTAAGACATCTTAATGCAATCACAATACAAATATGTTAATGTTGTGCTTATCCCTGCTTTGCTTGAGTCATAAAATTTGTTCATGGACTTTATCTTTGGTTTCAAAACAGGAAAATTATAAAACATGTTTACCGATGAGTCTTCAGGACTTTCATTTTGAATTTCAAATATAGACATTATACGGGAAGACAATAATACCAAATACTCACGCATGCAGTCGTTGACGTAGAATGCGGACACTGGGCACAGCACATATATCATAACAAGGACTGGAGCTGTGGTAAATACTGAAGGAAACATCTTCGTATTCTTGTATTGCTTCTCGTGTGTAAGGCAATAAATTCAAAATCTGAAAAAGACGTTGTGTTCAAGAATCTGAATATTTTCAACTAGAAATAGCATACGTATTAAAGTTAATTTTGATGCATCCTTAATATAGATAAGCGCAAGAAAGAAATCACGATATCTTTGTCTTGATTTGATCATATTGTAATTAAATCAAATGCATTCTGTATGATTATATTTTGCATGTAGGAATATCATGTTTCGAATTTGCATATAATTAATAATTTATCAATATATTTGTTTATGGGTAGTATAATGTCATAATGTCACAAAAAAAACGGAAACATTTCCACGACGCAAACATTACTAACAACAGTATATATATATGATCTTTGACGTTCATTAATTTTGACACCAATTTTGTTTTTAAAAATAATCAACTTCGTATAATATATATACATGTATACCACCACTGGATAATAACATGTGTTACGATGTAAACAGTACTTACCTCTTACAGAGTCCAGCAGAGTCTGATATCGGTTGGTTATAAACTACCCGCATTTATACTCGTCTCCTGTCTATCCCATTTTTTCATTCTTTTGTAATATGAAATTGTTATTCTCAGTAGGGATCAATGATCAAGTATTTGGGTTAACAGGATACAAAACAGTGTTAAGAAGCTTATAATAAAAACAAATACACAATTACGTCAAAGTAATGCTATTTACTGGCAAGTCCACTTAAGACATGAGTTGATCATTGCAAGTGCCGCTAATGACGTTTTTCATATTCTCAGAATAACGTATACATTTAACTTACTCCCAAATATTTTCAGTGTTCGCATTCTGGAAGCACTTATAAGTGTTCCTGTTGTCGTAAGTACTCGTGGTTTTGTTTACAGCATCTTGTTGCCCTTCCTTGTCAGCGGCTTTGTTTCGCTTTATCTAAAATTTTAAAAAGATACATACGGTTGCATCACCAAGGTGTGCTAATCTATGTGTGCACGAACATTTCTTCGTGCGTTCCCACACAAAACTATTGTATCCTCACAAAAAAAAAGCAATACACGTACGTTCCCAATACGTTCTCCACCTAACCTGTAGAAGTTAGAAGATGCACTGTTGTTAATATTTATGCTTTTAAAAATTCGAATTTTTATTACGTTGTCACTTCAAACTAATATTATTAAATTCATCTGCTTTGTTTAACTCTATATTGTCTTTTAAACTCTATACGTCGCGTAAAATACTTTAAATTAAAGTTAAAATACTCACAAAGGTTAAACATGTAATATAGACATACACTCTGAACGTTATTAGTCATTTTCGAAAAAGAAATATTGGCTCATTTCTAAGTTGCTACATGTGTAAGATATAGATTCGCTTTGGTTTAATAATGTATTTCAGATGTTTTCATAAAGTTGGTTTCATTAGGATAATGGAAAACCAAATTTTTTGAAGTCATTTTTAGTTGTATTTTCCTATTATCTTCACAGTCTGAAAAATATTAAAATAAGTGTTATATATTGATAATAGTCGAAATAGGTTAACTTAAAATAAAATGAAAATAAAGGTATAATTACCTAGCTTAAATTAAATTAACAGACGGAAGAATTTTACCCCCACGTCATAATACTTTGTGTGCGCACAATAATATTAAGTTTCAGCGCAACAAAATTGCGTTCACAGCCACAGTAGAATGGCGTTGTTTAAGATAAACAAATTTGTTCTACTAACAAAACATTATTCTTTTAATTGAAACATAAAATTGTGCATATGCGACACTTGTTTTGATTTTTATCTGATTGACAATGACACAAACAGTTATTGCTTCAGAATAATCTTTGTTACAAATTTGTTACCGTCGGGGAATACTCAAGTCAGGTTTGCTAATTCCGTCTTTTCGTATTGCACAATTATCTTGACTTGTGAGCAGGTATTGATTGTTACGTCATTGGTTTGTGAGAGTAACGTCATCATTTTTTGAGAAAACGACGTAATTTTCTTACACAAACCAAAGACGTAACAATCAATACCTGCTCACAAGAGAAGATAACTCTGCAATACGCAAAGACGGAATACACGTTTTGCAGTCATTACTCTGATCAGAAAAGTTAACCAATTTTACTTGTTTCGAACTTAATTGAGCAATCAGCATTTGACCCAGTTCATACAATAAGTTCATATACATGTAGCACGTTATTCTAACCCTGTATAATACATGTATCAACATGCAGTTTTTTATTGTTAGCACATACGCAGCGACTGTACATATGCAATAATCTTTAACAAATATTGTTTCAGTAAAAGCGAGTTTTTGATGTCTGAATTATAAATTACAATTATTAAGTTTGTATGGTTTAATATATTTTTGCTACTTTTTATGTCTACTTCTATTTTGGAAGCGTTTGAGAATCACTTTGTTAGTATCTTGTTTCGTTTGATTTCTTATCTACATTTAAACCTAAACCTGCACATAAAACCATCTGTCCTTGTCTGTTATCCTTTTATAACTGAGCAGGCCAATACCACATATCTCGACGATGGTATAGGGCTTGTGACTTTAATATTTACAATAGGATACAATCGGATAAATAATGGATGCAGGCAGACACTCTGCCTCTTTATCCATATCTTAATATATTTTAAACGTATAAGAAAATAGTATTAATTAATTAATATTTGACAGGTACATGATGTGTAAGTAAATTTAATGGAACTTTTTTTTCAAGGTAAATCGCTATAGAGTTATAAAAGTTTGTCATAAAAGGAAGCATATTACGAATTATAACACACCAACGTATCTATTGAACAGGAAATGTACAAACATATTTAAGGCTATATGCTACCTCATCATTACACCTGGGTTTTTTAATGCAAGAGTTACCTCCCTTGACAACACAATATACCATATGGGACAAATTAGAATGAGAAAGGTGATGAGGTCGCATCGTATTAAGACAGAATATACCCTGAACATAATTTATCAAAGGTAAAGAAGATTTTTTTTCAAATATGAAATTAAGATCAATTTAACTTAAGGTCAAAAAGAACTCATTTCCTTTAAAATTAGTACTAAATTACCAAGTTTGATAATATGGGAACGCAACACAAGACAAACTAAACGCTGAAAATGCCAACACCAAATCGCGTCATTGGAATACATGATTGTGACAAGAAGGTTCATAGTACAAGCGGTCGTGTTGATGAGAAGTACATTGGTATGCGTATATACTGATGTTCTGGTGTACGTGTACTGTGAGTGGGCGGTGCTACTACAATGTATCTTAGTAAAGAGTCAAGTAGAGACAGATCATTATCTGCATGGCATTCACGTGGCTTTACAATGTCAGTGATAATGGTGTTTGACATGGTCATTATCATGTAGAATGGGTTTTAATTGTTTCACAAATAAAGATGAAAAGCGACATATATAGTTGAATTACGTTATTCGGTTCTCAGAAGGAGAACTTTACACTGTATAACACATGCCTAAATGATTAATGCTACTCAAATTAATCATTAACATCTCAGACTGCAGCTGTACATTTGAACAATTTAAACTCATTTACCCCTGAAGACACATTTGAACTCTTCCAAATCGAAGTTGGAATAGCTCATTATGAAATTTTAGGGGTGAATGAGTTAACTGCTATTTCAGGTTAGTTACTGCTTACTGATATCCTGGTTGAGAAACGTAATCTAAGGTTCATGCATTTTTTCTGAATTAAAAATTTCATTTATTACTTATTATATTAATTAATTTATTCATCATTAAAATGTTCTATTTATTAACTTTTTTAATTTATTTGAAGGTATGTTTCGAAGTTCACTAATGAGCAGAAAAATATATCAATCAGTGATTTGATTAATAAGATTCATTTTTGAGTAAAATGAGTGAACTTACGTCAAAATGTTTGTTTTTCTAGTTCAGAATTTAACGTCGATGTGACATTTAAGAATGGAATTTATTTTCATATGAATGCATCAGTATTTCAACTAACCTGGTATGGGATGCAAACGATCCCATGAATGATTATGATTCTGTGTGGTCTACCGGAAACACCACCACTACATGTAGATGTAACGTTAGTACAGGCAAATTCGCCATGCACCCAAATTCGCCACCCTGTGACGAAAATGCCATATGACGTCACAATACATAAGATGTGACGTAAATAACGTCACCGTAGTCTTCAGCACAGTTAAAGCCTTCAAACATTTTGACAAGAAGAGGAAAAGTAATATTATTCATTTAAACAGTTATGAAATATCTTGTAACATACCGAATCTGAAATATTTGGTCTGTGCGACGGACATCTCGTCAGCTTAACTCATTAATCGAAGGCCTGTTGGTTGTGATTTAGTGTAAATGCATTATATATGAATTAAAAAATACCCATATCTCAGCTCTAATTGCAGTTTTATGGTCGACTGAGCCGTCAATGGAAGTAAACTGATTTTTTTACAAGTGTACTTTGGTAAATACAATGTACTGACGACGCAATGCTTGTTTATGGAAATGACGCTCGGAAAGATTTGATAACTCATTTTCTATTTTCATTCAATGTGTATTTAGAAAACAATGAATTAACCAATATCTTTTTAAGCGTATTACTTGCGTCTAACATTCAGCCATCTTAACACTTTAATTAAAACACCATCTAGAAAGTTTCTAGATTTCTATCTGAAAAAGAATCATTGTCGGCAGAAGATTGTACGTAGGGGTGTTGGAAGCCCTGGACCCTTTCATCCGCCCCGATGTAAAAAATAATTTGGAAGTTTATATTTGTTCAGGACTGAGTCTTCATTGCGATACATGTAAATTCATCTCATATCAGCCGTCTTACTCAAACAGTATTATTAACTATCACAACTAAGAAAAGCCATGTTTAAAATCATTGTTACACACACATATTTGGAGCTGTTCGTATCAGTACGACTTGTGTTGCATAAACATACATAATTTTACATTTAAACACTTACATTACTTGCAAATAAGTGAAAAGTTTGAAGGTGGCGAAACTGCCTGCAACTTTGAGCAAAACCACTGAAGGCCTGATGACGTCACATATGTTGCTGCGTGACGTCATTCAGACGTTTTTTACAACACTAAAATAATTTTAGTCAAATCTTCTTCTGTACTGGTGCTCGTCGGCATTTTGATACATGCCTATTTAGACGAATTATTACCTGAAACCCTTACTAATGTGACGAATTTGCCTGCACTAACGTTATATGCTTGGAGTAGCATACATTCCATGTGAAGTGGGGTTTGTTTTTCAGTTCGGGGAGACTAACTGTTTTTTTTTATGATATGTGTCAGTAGATTACTGTCTACAGTTTGTTTGTTTGTTACTCTCTATAGCTAAACATTTGTGTGTAAATCTGTGTACCTAGACTGCCTACGGTTTGTGTACAACTCGGTAAACTAGACTGGCTGGCTGCAGTGTTCATCTGTTTATACGTCTGTGAAGTTAGACTTGCTATAGTCCCTATGTTTCCAACTCCCTGTACCTAGATTGGGTACATTATAGAATGGTTACAGTTTCTTTGTTGGTAATGCGCCGTACCTAGACCGGGTACATTCACTGAGTTTGTTAATCTCTGTAGTAAGACAGGTTTCAGTGTTTTTTTGTTTATAACTCTTACACCGGCTACATTCCCCGTGTCGTTTACTCTCTGTAAATATACTGGCTACATTCCCTGTGTTTGTAGCGTTTTTGTTTTTAATGCTCTGGACCTAGACTTGGTACATTTCGTATGTTTGTAACTCTCTTTATCTAGGCTGGCTACATTCTTTCACTGTTTATAACTCTGGCTACAGTCCAATTGTTTCCAACTCTGCCTTGTGGTTTTGTTTTTGCCTCCCCAATGCATTATCGATATGATGACGTTGCTTTACTACAACTTGACGTACTTGGTTGCTGTCGTCGGTGAAGCAGAATACGCTTGCCCTTCCGGAACACCTGGTCAGTGTATCCTGGTTCTTTTTCAAGTGTCCCCCGTTTAATATCCCCTTCGTATGTTGACCTAGCTTTATTGATTTTCAGTTCGAATAATGGTTTTGTTGCCCCTTCGATATGCTCTTAAACATATGGTCATGCCATTAGATAAACTTGCTTCAGTCTACTAACAGAAACATATCAGTCAGTCTGACATAATTGTGAAAAATTAAACAGTCACTAATTATATATAACTAAAGGTACATCCTGAGAGCCATTATCTACGTGGCGACGATCAAACTTCGTGTATTTCGTCTGTGCGTATTGTAGAGTTATCTTCTCTTGTGAGCAGGTATTGGTTGTTACGTCATTGGTTTGTGTGAGAAAATTACGTCGTTTTCTCAAAAATTGATGACGTAACTCTCATAAACAAATGACGTATCAATCAATACCTGCTCACATGAGCAGATAACTCTGCAATACAAAGAGACGGAATATCTATAAAGTGCTCAAACGGAATTCTGAGAGTCAATATTTAAGGTCGACGACCAAAGTCTATTAATGCAATACTTAAAAACAGAATCCTGAGAATCAATATCTAACCACCGACGAACATAGTTAACAGAGTGCATTAACATAGAACGGTATGTTAAACAGGCATACTAAGAAACACACACTAATCAACGACAACTAAAACGCCCTTATGAACAGTAACGAATTTTATTCTTTGTTCAGTGAAATGAATAAAAACAAAAACAAAAATGGTTAGATTACAAATAACTCATTTTAAGAATAAAGTATCTTGCATCTCCGTCAATGACAATATTAATAGTAGAACTATTTGAATGGTTTTTTTTAAGAACGATAAGAACTTTGATTACATTACGATACAATATCAAGGTGTTTTTCAATGACCAGAAATGGCTAATTGCTTCACAGATTCCCATATCTACGCAGTGAGTCCGGATGCTTTGAACACAGGATACAAACGTGATTGCACTACTAACAGTGTACCAAACATAATTTACACCACACCACTTAGCTTATCTACTTCAAAAATAAAAGTACTGGTTCATGTCAAATTGATGAGTGAAGTATATTATGTCAATTCCGTCTTTGCGTATTGCAGAGTTATCTTTTCTTGGGAGCAGGTATTGATTGTTACGTCATTGGGTTGTGGGAGAAAATTACGTCGGTTTCTCAAAAATTGATGACTTTTCTCTCACAAACAAGTGCCGAAACAATCAATACCTCCTGCCAAGAGAAGATAACTCTGCAATACGCAAAGACGGAATACCCATTATTTGTATCAATATTCAAAAATACATTACTTCACAGGGAGGCTGATATCTATAACGAGGAAACGTTACGTACGTGCGATGAATGTTTTTAAGTTTTGTAATTGAGGTGGTCATTGTCAAAATATCTAGACAAAAATCTTTGGAGTCGGTCAAAAATGTTGTCTTGCTATGCTTTGCAATACAGGAAGGAACTGTTGCCAAAGGTCTTGTCAAATAGCCATGGAAAACTTATGACTGCCCGTGGTTTTAATCCTAGTTTTACTCTCGGCCACAGCAAACCTTCAACTAAACTTGAATTTGTGATTTCCTGCTTATTTCATACCACATATGTCCTCGTTGAAATAGCGATAATTCAATATTTATTGGATAAATAGTTATGAAACATCCAAAACAATGAGTTAATATTCTCTGATTCGTATAATTCTGATTAGTGATTCATCGTTTTATTAATATCAAAGCATACATATTACCATCATTTCATTTGAGTTGAACAGTCAATGAACTGATATAAGCTATACACTGACTGGCCTCATCACCTGTGTGTAAGATTACCAGACAGTGTTGATAAGGTAAGACATATGAAACGCACGTCACTCGCCTAGATAGGATTTCTTTGATCACGCCCATATGCTATGTTTCCACGGGCTATTCTTTTTTAATGTCATTAAGAATTTTTTAAATGTCCTTAAGAAGTTTTATCAATTTTCATTTATAAGTGCATATGCAGTATGTTTGATCAGTCTTATTTAATAGTGGGTTTATACTTTTCGGGACAAGAGTTGTTTGATCTTGACCCCATAAAATTACGTTCACTATCTCTAGGCAACGTTCCATTGAGGAGTGGTGTCTTAATCATTATACACGGAACAGCTTTGTTAGCTTTTCTAAGTTTGGCTTCCTGTGATTTTTGTTTTTCTCACAGCGCATCTATTTAGCTTTCAATATTGTGGTTAGTACAGTATTATAAGTATATGAAAATATATTCAAAGAACAGGAAACTATTTAATTATTCCCCGAAGTACACAATTAAGGATATGATTCTTTTTTTTTTACTGTGACTATGTATCCTGTTATGCTGAACCTCCTAGCAGCCGGAAATTGGTTAAAATGAGCAATTCAGGTTTTCACAATTTTCAAATAAAATCTGTTAATATGAAAGTATATCTATTTCACATTGTTGTTACGACAACTCTAACTTTAAATTCAGCTAATGTTATTCGCTTTGCATTTCAGATAACTTTCTGAATGGTGTTACTTTGCATATGACAGGAAAACAGGAAGATAACACCAACAGCAACCTGTCATCAAACCCATGATTCGACCTCTAAATCGATAGATATACGACATAATAGCAACAAAGGAAAGATTTACATAGAAAACAATGAACATATAAAATGAGGATAAGATCAAGTCTTCCTCAAGGGGGTAAGCGTCGTCTGTTTTTGGACGGTACCCGCCATGTAAATATACGTCAAATCCGAACAATGTAACGTTTCCAACGCAAGATCGGGGAAAAAAATAACCTAAAATACTTAGCATCAAAATAAATAAATAAACTAATTAATAATATTGAATAAAATCGACTTTAATCCTCACACTAAATGAGATATGATATTCCCCTCTAAGATCGTTACGACAACCGCAAAACTTTTATAAGCCAAATAAGCATATCCGTATGCGCATTTGTATACATAACTACAGTGCATTCTTTAATTTATCGATTTGTTTATTCTGTTTATCATGGTTAATAATATTTTCACTCTGCATGGCAAAATTTAACAAAATGATCTTGTTTGATTTTCTGCTTTTAAGCGATGAAAATACGAAGTCCATCCGTGTGATACACTTTGAGAAGTTTGTGTATAAGGGAGGTTTCAGACTCCATGTATCCGTCTTAAGAGGCAGTCAGAACATCGAATGTCTCACCACTCCATGACTATGAGGGGACATATCACCACACTGGTTTCCTGTCTAGTTGAATGTTATCCGGGCACGGTTACCTAAGGGTATACACAAGGCCCTACCTTATATATTGTGTCTGTGCCTTATATTAAGGTAATCTCCATTTGCATATCTATTAAGTGTGAAACGTCTTACTTGTAACTTGTTAATTAGTCACTAATTGATTAACCAGCTCCAAATTATCATTCATTAACGATATTTTAAGAGTTTGTGAATATGGCACACTTTTGGACAGGAGATACTTGTCGGAGATGTAAGGTAGATGTAAAGGCAACATATATCATTAACAATCGTATTCGTCCTAACTTAGAAGTCAAAATAACGGAAATGATATGCAATTGAATGTCTTTGTTTCTATTTCATATATCGTATACAATTAAATGCAGATAAGCCATAACATGTTGGCACTTGGCGTTTCTATTATGTTACGTTCCAATTGGCTGTCATACTGACTAAGAATGTCATCTGAAAACTGCTCGTCTTAATTTTTATATTTACCAATATTTTATTTTCATACAAAATCAAATGAAATTGTCTTGTATAATGAATAAAACAACGACCTTTAGTGGAGGATCAGTAGTGTTCAACCTTTCAATTTTAATGTTTTAAAAAATGGTTACAACACGCCGGCCATGCCTTCATAGCTGATAAGTATGCCATATTATTTGTGTTAGTATGTCACAGTTTGAATCACACAAATTCATGTATTGATAGCTAAAAATAAAACGTCCAATGTCAGCTTGCCCAGCTTGAATGTGCAGTATGTCACTTCTCTATGCGTAAACTAGGTAAAATCTGAAATACTGTAGAATCATTTATTTTCGTGGGGTTAAAATTTCGTTGTTTTTATATACTAGCCAGTTTCAAGGACATTATATTTCACAGATTTCTGATTTACCCCTATCTAAATCATACAAAATTTAATTTTCGTAGGGATTTAATTTCGTTGACTTTTGTTATCAACGAAATAAACGATATTTAATGTCCCACGAAAATTTATTATTTTACAGTATATCTCTATACAGTACCAATTTTTAAAGGTGCAATCAACTGTGTGTTATGTTCATCTTTCAATATACAAGGCTGGATTTACTTGATTCCGATATAGATGTATAAGGTAAGAAATAATCAAAGTACTGAAAGTACTCCAGACACATGCTTTCTTGATGTTGCAACATGTCCAAAATAGCATAGAACAGCATCAACACATATGTACAAGGACAGTATCTGAAGAAACAGGAAAAGGCACCAGCAGGAACTGAGGACATCAAGATAAAAAAAAACGAAACAGAGGGCGAAATACATGTGTTTTTATAAAAGGCTTGGTTGGACTGTATCTCACGCGGCATCGGTCATTTGTTTTCTAGTCAGACTCAGTAAATTAAGCAGCCCACAACGATCTGTGACGCGATGAATCTTCAGTCCCAATACACATAGACATTTTCTAGTAACAAAGTCATGATGGCCACCGTTAAACTTCTACAATGTAGCATATCTGTGGAAAGTTTTTTTTTTTTTATGATCAATATAGAATGAAAATACATGTTGAAACGTATATATTAAAGGAATAATATGCACTTATAGACATATTTTTTCAGTATTTATCGTTTCACAACCCCTCTTATCTAAGATAAGTAAAGCGTTAAACAATTTCGTTATTACTATTGAATATATTATGGTGTAAAAACCGATAACGAAACATGTATCAGTTACCTCAATCCCATTCCTATTATAAACAAAAGTATTCCATCTTTGTTCAAAATTTCTTCTCTGATTCAATACGTTACTTCAATGTTTTTATCCGTCTGATGGTCTGATGGTGTTTTTTAATTTCTTTAAAGCAAGTTTTTTTTTTTATTTAAAAACAAAATTATGGATGATTGGAAAAATGGTCACAATATATGTGTGTAGAATAATGTTTAACGAATATCACACCGGTAAAGCCGATATATCTGTAGCGTATAATTCAGCAGGTTGATGTTTACTGTTCCTCCTGATAATTCTGAAACATATCCACTCTACGCCGATGACGAGTGAAGCCAGGACAATCCCTATACCGATCAGGTAGAAAGCACTTTGCACATCCATTAAGTCTATAACCTTATGCTGATCCCATGTCGCCTCGTAGCACATTTTCTGTCGCGACCACCATTTTCTCTCCCAAACATTCATAAGTCCACTCTCTAAAATCTTCATAGTTCTGAAACACAAAATAACAACATAATTCATAGCAATAGCAATTTGAGCAATAAATGGACTTTATGGCCCTAAGAAATTAAAGCTTTTCGTGAAACTAATTTCATGTGGTTTTATTTTTTTAATGAAACCACATACTTCATCAAAATTGTTTTATACTTACTTATGCCGACTTTAAAATTGTTTATTTTTTTGTAATATTTATCGCAGTTTCAGTGGATATAATGTTTATTATTAATGTTTTAATAAACCCTTCAAATAGTATTGGTTAGTGTTTTTAAAGATAAGAAATGCCACTGTTTGGTAATTGCAATAATTCATAAACCCAACAGATTGATAAAAACACAAATAACGCGTTGTCTTAATCATATTTAAGATTATGATACATTCATAGGGTAGATTGAAAGGTTCCACTTAATTTACCCGAAACAGAATAAATTTGGAAGAATATGCCTAACTACACACAGGTGTTATTAAAAACATGCACATCAATTCTTGATAAAGAGTATATTTGATGTATATTTGTACGGTGTCAACACTTAAAACTGATACAAATATAATGCCGAAATTTTTCCAGGAATGTATCAATTTCGGATAAGTTGTGTGCAGCAGGCATTCGTTAAATAGATTACTCATGCACACGTTGTTATCAAAATTCAACAATATCGTGTTTGGGCTCTATACTTAGGTCAATTCATATACATTGAATTGTCTAAACGTTCTAGAACCAAAGTAAGAGAAACAATTGCCAATGTTTCTCAAATATATGAATAGATATGTTTTGCCTGGTAGTCATGTTTCTTTACTTTATAGTACTGTGTTATTACAGAAAGGGGCAAAATGAAATTAACTAGTTGTGATAGTATCTGTTAAATACCACAAGAAGCGATAAAAATATAAAGCTACGTACTTAAGAGAAAATATATCAGTGTATGGTGAGTTATTGGGTACGCCAAACGCGTATTGCATATGTAGGAATTTCTCGTCTATTGTAGCAAGACCACACTGCTTCGTCATCTGAGTGTCCACTTCGGATTTGGCCGCTATGTAGGCATAGTTTCCACCCAGGACTTTCTGCATGTGTTGGTCAGGGTTCTTGTTAAGAACGGAGGGGTCAGTGGCGTTAAACCGAACCATTCCTCTCCAGATGGCATTGTACTCTGGTATCACGGACTCCTGGTAACCAGTAAAGATGACAAGCATGTGTATAATTGGTGTTAACGAAGAATAATTTAATCTTGCTTGTTACAACCATATTCATTGGCTTCAAAATTTATGTTATCAACCCAACAAAAATGACATCGCCGTTTGTAACGTCGCTTTTGATTGGCTGATACAGCGGCGTAATAATTTCTAAGAGAAAAGAGTCCATCAATAACAATGAAGTTGCACAGGGATTGTGTATAGTAGATTAAATTATAAGGATTGACTTAATTTTTATTTTTTATTTTATGGAGCTATAACGCAAAAAATCGGAGTGTACTTTTCGAGTACACTCCGTTTTTGTGATATATTTCCATAACATGAAAAATGTATCCAAGTTAATCCTTAAATATGCTACCCTAGACAATACGCATAAACTAACTCTAGAAATATATGCCATTAGCGTTATCTAATAATAAACATTATCTAAAAGTTCAGAATAAGTTCAGAGTTATCAAAATTGTAAATCTTTAAAAGTTCTTCCATGAATCAATTATATATTACTTATTAATATAAGAGGCACTTGAGGTTACCCGTCCCACTGCAGGTAAAACACTTGTTATTTCCACTGGGTTTTTTCCCGTTTATACAGTAACCTCCCCTTAATTCCGTTTTGAATATTACTTTCGTTGACTAGGTAGCGCAGTTTGTTAGAACGCAAGTATAACAATCTGGGTTCGAAACATGATCTTGACTCACTTAATTGATTTGAGTTTAAATGTTTATTTTCTTCATAAAAGTTCAACAAGATAGGGATTTATTTTCTGAAATTATTATCAAAGCTACAATCTACAAACAAAAATGAAGTAAAGAATTGTTTGAATCTACGCTTGTTTTACTGGATAGCACACCAAAATAATTTTTAATGTACTAACCATGCATGATGTATTGCAAACATAATGTATTGCAAACATAATGAGCAAATCCCGTCAAAATAGTTATTTAAGAGTATAAGTATGTATTGTTGGAAGCAATGACAGCTATATTGGTGACAACTAGGGTTAATTCAACAAAAGCATTGGACATATGTAATATACCTGGAACATGGTGACAAATACGGTACCACCAAACGTTCCCCAAATAAATCTTTCCTGAGAGACCATCTCTTTGAGGGATTTAAATGGCAGCTTCTCCTTAGATACCGTGAGGGAGGCGATGAGATTACCGCTGTATGTCGCCAAGGATATGATACAGAAAAGCCACCACATGCCAACAAAAAGCCGGCTAGACATAGCATTGGGTGTGTACTTTCCACCTGGCAATGAAATATAGGTAAAAGACCAGTCATGCTGAAAACAGGAATACTAGACGAGACACACATATCAATGAAATAATATTCTACATATGGAAACATATCGACGGTTTATCTATCCGATATACATGACAAGTGTGGTTTATTAACTTGTGAAGAAATATATGTATAAATCAATCAGAGGTTAAAGATGGCCATTTAGGTAAAAATGGGGTATTCACAAATTTCAAATTAAACATTCGAATAGAAATGAGACATTCGTGATTTTTAAACATGAGTGTACAATTCGACATTTGAAATTAAAAATTTGTGATCATCGTTGTTTAACCTCGAATTTCCATCGTAGATGTATAAATGAAATGCTCGAGCGTGTCATGAGCCACAATATACAACATGTACGCGGTACAGGTATCTATCTCCATTATCACCGTGATTGCTAACGATTGCTTAACGAAGCGTTAACAACCTTAGTTTATCGGTTGACAATTAACGCAATTGTGAAATATAGGGCAACAGGTCATCCTACCATAGGTTGACGAGTGTTGCTGTAACTAGTCCATCAGAACTCAACTAGACAAAGGGATGTCACTCCATGTCTTTATTTTGCAAGATGATATTGAGATTGGTTTCCGCTGCCATGCAGCAATAGTTTACTTATCAAATGATATTAAGTGATTTTGGCATTTTTCTTGTATTGAAAAAAAACCCACACACACATGAAATATACATATAACCAGTGACGGAGAAAATTTTGAATTTAAAATGTATAAATGAAATAGCAGGCAGATTCAATCGAACAAGAATCAAAAGAAACAATATGCAGTGTAGATATATATAATGAATAAGTAAGTTCGACGATGTGAATCGTGACAACTCTTTGATTTGAAAATAGACCTATCCTATACCTAGTACCATGTGTCGTTGCTTACCTTACAGCAAGCTTCTGGTATTATCAAAACACAAACCATATACCCTACTAATTGCATATTATACATTGTTTAATGCATTAAAATTAGAAATACAGGTCAGTAATATGAAAAAGGAACTTTAACTTGAACCCATCTTTTAGATTACAAAATATTTCTCACTCGTCAAAGATCGATTTATCCCTGTTAAAAAAAAAAGATTTATAACTGATCAAACAACCATCTGTCCCTTTCGAACAAGCGTTTTTGTCACTTGTCAAAGATATTTTTACCTTTTCAAACTACGCTTCATATTAATCAATATTCGTTGTCACGCATCCGATGTACGTAGTAACGTTGTAAATATGGTGTGTGATTGGTTTAACGTTAATTCTTAGAAATCTAGAAAGATTAATCGGACTATTTCAAAGACTGTTTTCATTTGACAAGAATGTGAATCGAAATCACGAGAAAACTTTGAGAGACCTATATCATTGTAAGATGAACTCATCCTTATCAGGAACTCTAGATTTACTTCAAAGGATGGTACAAATTATCGAACAATATTCCTGACACGTTTCCTGTTGTTTAGGACGTACACTAAATCCCATGTGCAAACCACACCTGCCGTTCTATAATACATATGTGAATTGATACTCATAGATATGTCGATCGATGGTTTTGCAATGCAGAGCAAATTAAATTGATAATGTTATTACTTCCGACAGGAAATTAAACATGATCAAACATCTTCCAATTCGCTGATGAAATCAACATTAGATATACGCTAAAGTTGTTTCGGATGACAGACAAATTCGATCAAAGTTAGATCACGTATTCTAATCAATCATATTAAAAATCAACCAATAAAGCTGATCTAATTACATAACAAAGTGTACTGGTAATCTCTTTTCATACCTGTTATATATATAACACAAAGAGCTATAAGGTATGCGGGCATAGCCATACCTTTTTAATCTTAATATCTTCAATTATAAACAAAACATAATATAACAAAAATTATAGAAATAGAAGTTTTATCATCTTATGTATGCATCCACGTTAATATAAACTACCGCCACTGTATCCTCTAATTAGAGCGCTTAGTGGACCGCTAGGGTCCGAGTAAGTAACCATAAGTGCAGCAACTCGTCAGTTATTCAAATCGAAGGTTATTAATATTGTTACATATCCAGAAAGGTACAGGTGAGACCTTCGTGTACCTGACGTATGAAGCGAATCTGGTATTAGTTATGCATAACAGTTTTCTGTAGCAGATAACCCGCGGGTAATCTACCGGGCCAGACAACCTGCAAACCTCATTTCCTAAACACGATATTGCAAGTTGTGCGGACTATAAACGGAGCGGGTCATATACAAGAAATTACAGTACAAATAGCAGATCTAAAAAGAGAAAATAAATTAATTTGCGGTTTCGTTGTTTTGCCAAATTTTGTGATTGTGTTATACAAATATATTTGTAATTAAATGCCCCAAACCAAACTGTTTGGGCATATGTGTATAAGATTGATAGACAAAAATATATGTTACCGAAAATTCTGCAGTATCAAGGTTTACACTTCACTTATTTTGCCATGTTAATGACGATTTGGTATTGGAACAAACTAACAGATGGAACAGCCTGTTATGCAGGGAATCCTAATAAACAGGCACGTCGTGATACGTTTGGATTTCGTTCTTATTTTTTTTTTAGTTTTCATACTACCATAGCTCTTCCATATTGGCCATTGACATCATAGCATAAAGTATAAAGTATAAACTACAAAGGGACAATACGTGTAGCAACCGGAAGTGAAATATATAATTATAATAATAACACTTATGAGTCCAGCGACGAGGATCCTTAGAATGGAACCTGCGCTGGAAAATATCATTAAGTATCATTAAGTATAGCATGTATTTTCTGTAGGTAACATTGTTACAAATAGTTACCAGAATGGCTACAAAATCCGAAGTTATCGAAATATCAACATATGAAAAAATGAGAAATTAATCGTTCACCTTGTGTTAAAAGAGCTCCAAATAGGTACCAGAAAGATCCCAAGAAGGAGTTAAGGTCACTTCCGTTGGGTTCTCTCTCATCTCCACTGTAGACGGGGCTGATGTTTTCCAGTGCCACAAGTACAAGGGATGCGAGGGGCAGGGACAACCCGATACTGATAATGACAGTGTCACTGTATGGGTCGATCAAAGTACGCCATTTTGTTTCCTGTGGATCCGGTTTCTGAATTAAAACTTCGGAATGGTCGTGAAAAAATGGATGAATGAAGTCCATGACGCGTTCCCTCTGCATTGTGATTGACAGAGGAGCAGCCACAAGGTCTACATCCTAGGCACAGAAGGAGGTTATAAGATACTATTTGCTAGGCTTGTTATAGATAGCGTTGTTTTCTAGGTATTGCCGTAAGGTGAATTATACACTATAGCGATCAAATACTTTTAAATAAATAGCATTGAATACGAAAGAATCCCGTAACTGCCAATTCTCCCCTTTACGCGAAGGTCAGAGCTTGAAGCTGCATATTTTAATTTTATAAATGAAGCAGTGCGGGATATTAACAAAATGATGAAATGAATGAGGTTTATTTGATTTAAAAACTATATTTTACATAAATCATGTTATAGTATTTGTCGACAGGTGTTATTACCTTCCTCTGTAGTTGTCCTATAAGTCCTGTCCAGCTGCCATTATCCAGCATCACTCCAAAATCTCCATCGGGGGGAACTATCACTTCAAAACTATGAAACATGGTTCATTATTGTTTTTTTATTTTCAATCATTGACATGGTTTATTATATATTATGAAAGAATAATTATGAAGAAATTGGTTTGAGGATATCATTATGTCTGAAAAGTGTATACATTTTTTCAACTAGTGACATTTTCTATTAAACGTTTTAAATACAAATATGCCAACACTCACGTGAAGTTCAGTTCTACTGCCAACTGTGCCAGTAGATCTATGCACAGACCTTCGAATGAGGTGTTGGTTTGGAACTCAAACGGGAACACCTGTGATATAGGTTTGTCATGGTGAATATAACAATTTGACGTTTCACTTAACAAAAATAATTTCGATGCTTCTTACCGTCTGTTTAAAAATAAACAAAATAGTGTGTTGCTATTATCACGTTTAATTTATTTTAGTTCTGAAAGTACCGATTAAACACTACCAATCAAGTCCAATTTCACGATTGTTCACTTTCGTTTCCTTAGTAGTGCCATGGTGACTATTTCCCTACCATGTTAAAATACGTGTATCTTAAATCTTGGTTACCTATAAACTTCTCCGGGTTTTCTATGAAGACTTCATAACAGGTATAACATGGAGGTGGGGTGAAGGGGCCGCATACCCCCATGGGTCTGATTCAGCCTTCACCCTTTCTTAACAAACATAAAGCGCTTTAGAGTGCCTTATGTTAGATAGATAAGGCGCTATGTTAAATTGTTGTACATTATTATAATTATTATAATTATCTGTTTCTTTGAATTTGTTTGAGGATAAAAGCGTTCTTTTCTGTTATATCAAAAATCTCTTTTGGTTCCTGTGTTCGTATTATCGTGTCTGTGTATATTGACAAGGCGTACATGCCAATTGCTACATATGATAATTACTCAAGGTGAACACATTTGAAATTAGTATTAAGCTTTATTGTAGCTTCAACCATGTGTAAACATGCGCATTCAAGTCACGAAGCACAGTTGTTTTGGTTTGTTCCTTCTCTTACCGAAATCGGAATAAATCCACAAATGATCGAGGCGTTCTAGTTTTCGCATAACTAAGATGTCCACGATACAAATTTTTGGGATATTGATAAGTTAAAACTGAATGTTATTCTATAATAAATTTAAATATCAAAAGTCTGGTGTCCGAGCGGAATTTCCACCCATGATATTTTAACAGTCGAGTATTTGGGTAAGTTGAATCTAGATGAAGAAGGATTTGTTTCAAGTTCAAGGAAACACTGTTGTTTAACGTATCAGCTTACCGGTTGAGTAGAAACAACAAAATTCCTTTGGTTAAATCCGAAGTGTACATTAGGAAATATACTGGAGTGTAAAAGTATGTCTCCATTTAAGTTGACGGTCCCTACTGGTGACAGTTCCCGGCCATCACCTCGCCACATCAGCGTGTGTATCACAAACTTACGACACACGTTACCACTCTGCAAGGATGAGAAACAATAAAGCATGTTTAACGTTGTGGAACAAACAAAAGCAAACTTACAATTACAGTCTTTGAAAATCGATGATAAAAATATTGATTGTGCTTAATAGTTTGGTTACTTACAATGTAAATGACACATTTCTGCAGTAAGACGGAATACAATAATCACACATTTATATATATTATTTTGGAAATGAAAAAACCCCATCCATCAATGATTTAAAAATTACATCTTTTAATAAGCCTTTTGATGTTGACGGCGTAACCAAGGTGATGACCAAGCAGCTGACGTGAATTGGTTTATTGTTTTTTACACAATTATGTACACGCAGTGTAGTCATAAAAATACAAAGGTTGTCGATGTTTTGGGTATGAATATGATGTTATTCTTGGAAACAAACACGTTTCATGCTACAAACAGCATTTTTGCTAAGAATAGTGATTTAAGTTGTATTACGACAGTTTTAAACGTTTGGTTATACTTGCGTCATAAAACAGCCTAGCAATGGTGTATTTGAGAAACTCGGTGCCAGTCATAATTCCGTGTTCTGTACATTCGTCTGCCAGTAGGATACTTTCGATGGAATGACACGTCTACAAGAGAAAACAATAACTGTATATAGCCGATATTTTGTTTCTAACTAAGCATGTATTTACCGAACATATGTGGCTACAAATCTTCAAAATCTACAAAGTTTCAAAAACAGTTCTCGACAACACACTTTTTTAATATTAAACAAAAATGACGAAAAAGCAATAACAGAATATTGTTATTCGATAACAAAATTGTTTTAAAAGGCGAAAGTCAACTATGTTTTTTTTATGAAATAATGATTCTCATATTGACGAACGATTCAAGAATTAGGCTTTACTATGAAAATGATAGCCAGTTAACAAGTGATAACTTCCTGTGTAATCATGCCTTGTGTTTCCAGTACTATGAGAGTGATAGTAAATTAACTAGTGATAATCTTCTGTTTACCTTTGTCTTGTGTTTCCAGTACTATGAGAATGAAAGCGAGTTAACTAGTGATAAACTTCTGTTTAACTGTGTATTATGTTTCCAGTACTATAAGAACGAAAGCAAGTTAACTAGTGATAACCTTCTGTTTAATTCTGTCTTGTGTTTTCAGTATTATGAGAGTAATAGTAGGTTAACTAGCGATAACCTTCTGCTTAATTCTGTCTTGTGTTTCCAGTTCTATGAGAGCCACGTTGTCCAATGTTATGTTGTTCAGTATTCTTCGTCCTGTGGCATCATTACTGAATAAAACCAGCAACCAGTGGGTGTGGTGCTGAATGGCCGAATCCCGGATATGTTTCTCGGAGTATTCCGAGGCCTAAATTTAAAAAAAAAGTTAACCATGTTTTAAATTACTTACTCCAATCAACTTTCGTGATAAATTATCAAACTTGCGTTGTATATGTCGGTTCGAAAACAAGTTTCAATTCATTATTTATCTTAAAATATGTCATATATAAAATAAATAATACAAACTTAACTAATACGGACCACTAGTCAAATCTTAAATAATAAACAAATCATATCAATGCTTTTTAATACTTTTTACGTTTACAATATTGTGCATGGCTTCTAAAACATTTCCCATTTGCATAAAGTGAAATATCATTTTCGTATTGATATTATATGAAAACGGGCGACGCAAACTATATCGTGTAGAGGATTTAACGTTCCTCTTTGTGATTGTACTGACTTCGTGTCATCCTTACCACATGTAGGAGGAAGTTAGTGAAGTAATCCTCACACAAGACTAGCAGGTTAGCCATACCCTTGGTCACGTTGCTCGCTGACTTCAAACTTCCAAGAATATCAACGATATCTGAATCCGACATTCTTTCGACCATAAAAGTGTTGAACGTAATGCTGTTTTCGGACCAGTGATCCAGCAACAGGTCGACAAGATGCTCTTAAACAGAAGAAAAACTCTATATTTCTCTCCTCCATTCAATGTGTGCATGTTTATGATCTTTCTCAACAGTGAAACGAGCAAGAAGTGTTGAACAACAAAATAGATGTAAGGTGTAGCACATTATCATAATTAAAGGGTACCATTATCATAACCACTATTTAAAAATAAAGATATGGAGACAAAAATAAGGTGATAACATTTATCTTTTTATTTTGAATATAAATCTCTGAAAAAGTAAAATTTCGAAAACTTCATACATTTTCCAAACGTTTTGCGCATTTCATGATGCTTCACCTTGACTTCATCTTGTTACATTTCAAACAGAACTGTTTAAGATTAAGGATCGCGATTCTGATGCTAATTAGCTTATTTAGCCATCAAATACAGCCTTTACTTTGAAAAGGTGTTAAGTAATATTTATATTTTACGGTAACGTTCACAACTAATTGTGAAAAAATATACCTCCATCTTCAATAAATAAAAAGATAATAGACTTACGTAGCTTCTCTTCATAAAATATGTATACCGAAGACCATCTGAGATGTTTTAGAATGGCGTCAGCTATAACTAAAACGTGATTATACCACCAATCGTGTTCGTTTATTGGCATTGTTATTTCAAAATGAGCACTTCCGTTTTCCCTGCACGGCGAACATTCGTCTTCGCCATCAACAGATTGTCCAGATGTAGCTAAAGGTGAATATGGGGGATTAGTCAGACTGGACATCGAGATAACTTCCATTTTGCCAAATGACTGCTGGAGTTGGACAGGGAACGCTTTCATGAGTTCAGATGACATGATGACTAAATCCGTATTATTTTTCTGAAGTGCCATCACTGTTCAAATAAAGAGCACATTGTGGGTCTCACAACAACGATCACAAGTAGCCAACTTTATTTTTAACACGAGGGTTGCGATTAAGTAGCTGTGTTCTTCTCGACATTGCTAGAGAACAATATAACAGGTTCTTATATTATTGCAATAAACAAGACGCTTCATAGGAGATATCAAAATGTATTACTTTTTACAACAGTTATGAAAAAAATCGCTCAACTATTATTAATCTTTCTTTTGAGTCCTGATGGTAGCGTGCCAGAGGTCTCTTAATGTGACAGGAAAACAGAATGTACCCAGGAGACCGTACAGGTGATCCTATACCTTTACACGAGGATCGAACCCTGGAACCTCGGGGAAAAGAGGAGTGCTTTACCTACTGCGCCACATAATATAATCATTTACATTGTCAATTAATCCACGATGTATTAAATGGCATTCCTTTGCGTGTGTCAATTTGTTTAAGTAAAATTTAGCAAAAAACTGTCAATCCATAATAAATTGGTTGTTTTATTTCAACACTTTGCCATATTGCCGGTATTTTGATAACACGATTGTGTGAAATCGAAGTCATATTTCATGGTTGACTTCTTCAATCATGTTCTTCTCCTGTAATGGTTCTGCGTATGATAAAGTAGAAAATGTATTTTACCTTAAATAAAATCTTAGTTTATGAAACTAGCCAAATAAAATAACTCCAAATTAGTTCGATAAACACCACATTAAATAAATATTATTTGATGTGTTCACATACTACAATAATGATATACAATGTAATAGAAACAATACATGGTGATAATATGGATCAGCTTACGTTGTCGGATTATATTGTATATTTCTTTTTCATGAACCTCTTGTAGTCGAACCCTCGTGATGCCATCGGGCACATGTAGCTGGTATGTGGTATTTGTGAAGTTGCCCTCGTTACCACATGGATTCAGGAGGATATCTGAAATCGTTATTACAATAATATGACAAATAAGTTAGCTGTGTTGGTCAAACTTAGAACATCTTCATTATGTACGTAAAACAGATTTTGGGATCGCCAATCAATTGTGACTACTGAGGAAAGACGCGTAAACGTTGAGGATATGAAACTTTAATAAAACGTTATTTTCGAATGACTTTCCATTTAATATGATATTTCGAAATGGTCTTATCTTTAAATTGAAATGTCACATGTATTCTTTGTCATGAACATAATGTCCTTCATCAACATTTTCAATCTTATGTTGTTTGTTCGGACGTTAGAACAACAAAATAAACTTCAGTCTCTGAACATAATTATCCAAGTTTATATAAATGATCTTATACATTTTATCCGGGAAAAATTCAAACTTCTAAATGACATAGGTGAAACAAACATGATTTACCAGAAATTGGTAATATTTAACACTACAGTCAGTTCTATGACATCATATTAGTTTCCCAGTAGATAACATGACTATTGACATTACTATATTCTAACTGATCAAAATCGTGCTACCAAAGTTATATCACTCAGCAAAATTTTGGCAGGGGCTTATTCCCTACATCACATCTGAGGCTATATCGTGAATTATATGTTAAGTCGTAAATGTGACGTCGTTTTATGGCAACAAACTTAACCTTTATTTAAAGAGCAATATCTTGTAAAACATAAGATATCTTATATAAGTTTCTTTAAGAGATACCATATATAGAAATGCGTCTATAAAAAGCAAAAATTGAATTGGAAAATAATAAACTCCTTGCCAGAAAATGCCGAGCACACAAATGTTGTTAGATTTCAGACTGAGAGATTTACAATAACTTTTTGCAGACTTCTAAATCTGAAGTTGTAAGCTAACCAATCTTATCCTGTTTTATAAAAGTATTGATGGGCACTGTTTATATACATGTACTTACGTCAGTGTTACTGTTAACAAATGATTAATCGTGATGAGGTTCCGAAGGGAGAAAGCATTATTACAATATATATTTAATTGTCTGTCTAACGAGGATATCGATTTTTACATGATATCTTATATACATTTTTCTTTACGATATATCATATCATGCATAGGATATCTATATCGTTTAAAAGACAAATGTCTTGTAGAAAAATATGTTATATCTCTCATTTGAATATAAGATAATTCATAGAAAAATAGAATATATGAAAAATTATATAAGATAGTTTTTATCATTGATGAGATGAGTATCTTACATAACAGAGAAGAAATAGCATGAAATAATATTAAATTAGGCTTAACATTGCTCCTTAATTGTAACATGCTTGCCATAGTTTGTAATTTTGTAAGTTATCATTCTACTGATATGATAATCAAATATATAATTCGAGAAAGATATAATCATATTTATTGCAGTTTTGTTATTATCTCTCTGAAATATCATAGCACAATTTAACATCAGACTACATATCCTGCGACACTAAAGATGACCTCGAGTCTGATCTGTATTTGCGTATCAACGAAATACAAAATGAAATGTAATGAGTATCTCCCGGTCTCAACGAATATGGTAAACTGACAGCGCCGGAAAAAAGTATATCAATAAAATTGTAGCAGCGTTAAAGAATAAAAAGATAAGGACAGCATCTGTTGATAAGTCGGTCAAATACTAATCCGTCCCGTTTGTTTGACGTGGATGTAGCAGGCATACAATAGAAGATATTAGTGTCTGAGCATGTTCGTTAAATTTTGTGTTTGATAAATTAGAATGAAAAAAAAAATAGCTAATATTGCGTTTCGTTTGTGACGGTAGGTACAATATAATTAGCAAAGGTTTATAGTAAGGACGTTTGGACTATCTATAAAATAAAATAAACATCTATTTTAGAATGCATATGTATCGATTATCTACATAATGTTATCTTGTCTATGCTGTTATATAATAAATTTGAATTGTTAAAATTGTTTTAAACAAATACCAGTATGTGAAAAGTATTTCTAAATGGACATTAACCATTCAAGCGACTTGTTTTTGTTTTTGTTTTGTGTTATTATGAAAGATTCAAGTCACTCTTTTCTCACTAAACAAAACTCCCTACGGTCTTGGTTTGACGAAAATATACGGCTTTCTGCTCACTCAGTGTTTATTTGACTATTGTGACCATATAAGGTATCCGGGAACGGAAGTACTAAGAGCATTTTTAACTAAAGAAAATGACAAATTGTCATGTCACTAAAAAACTTGGTCTTGGTGTATTTAAAAAAAACCACTGAAAAATAGTATGCCAAAGTAATTAAAGTGATTTATTACCTTGAAAGACCAGGACGTGTCAATGACGAGGTGGGATCATGTTTTATGGACTTTGTATGAAAAGTGTGATTTTAATAGGATTTAATAGGAAAGAAGATAGTATTTGAAATGCAACGTTTTTAATAATCATGGCGGTGCTTTGTGACATACATACTTTGTCAATAGATATATAGTAGTAATTAATGATATGTGATTTGTATATACATTTTTAACAGTCGCCGAGTGTCCATTTACAGCATTGCTGAATTTTATACAGAATCGTGTTCTACATACTGTTTGCAATATAGCAACATGATATTGATACATTATTCATTCCTGGTTTCCACTGCATACAAATCCATTACCCCCTCACCTATTCCCGTATTTGTTCTGTTGTTCATATTACTTCATTCCTGTAGCTAGTGTTGAAATAAATGATTATGAAGCAGGTAACAAATTTACATAAGTGTCATGACACTTGGTTTTGTTTACTTTTCTATTTCAGAGCATGTAATGTACAATTTATATTTCAATGTATTCTTAAAATATACGAATGAAACAAGGTTTAAACCAAAACGACACATGCATTTTGCTCAATAGTATAGGGTTAACAGTATAATCCGAGTAGAAATATAGTGACAATGTGTAATAAACAACCGCCACAAAAAAACGCCACAAAATAACGTATTATTTAATTTTATTTATAATACAAGAAATTAAACTAAATATGAAGCGCTCTATTTTAAATTAAAAATTATGATTGTTGAACAATTTATTTTGATTCATAAGCAAAAGAAAGAATGTCTCTATCCGAAATATAAGCTCAAACAGGAGACGACGCCTATGTCGAAGACAAAGTGAATGGTGGGCGATTTTACGTCAATCTGATTAAAATCATCTGTTACATGCATTGCTCCGCCTGAACATCTGAATGTGCCGCGATCAGGGTCACGTTCAAGTGACCTTAAGATGAACCAATCAGAGGCGCGCTGGCAAAAGTTTGCCAGCGAATCGGAATATCATGGTTGATAGATAAATAGCGAGGGGTATCGAACAGATTAGTTTTCCAAAACAAATATGGCGGCGGGAACTGATGTTTCTTCCACGCCAAGGAAAACGTACCCATTGGGTAATAATTGCGTAGGTAACACCACTTGCAGTCTTTCTTCTCTAATAAAGCTTCGATTTTTTATCTGTTCGGGATTCAGACGATCAATCTCAAATAACTTCAGAACTTTCGCATCATTCTCATCAATGTCCGACATATTTGTTACATCTCCGAGCGCCCTTTTAAAAGAGGGTCTCTGATTGGTCAAAATTTAATGAGTATTTATAAATATAAAGGTCACCTGAACGTGACCCTGACTGCGGCACACTCAGATGTTCAGACGTAGTATACGAAGTTAACGAAGTCATGTAACATATAATTTTAATCAGATTGATTTTACGTATCCTTACACTGTAAATAGCAGCGGAGTTATGATCTCATAAATAAACCTCCTCATAGAAAAGAAACAAGGGGTATTACCACATCTATTGGCATATTTATATATACAGTAAAGTAATGACGACAGCGCGGACAATAATGACAAAATAACACGAAAACGACATCGTAAGAGCTGATAGCGCTAGGGAATTGGTCGAGTGTCTTCGTTTTTATAGGGTTTTATTTTATCTATTTACCATCACAAAAACCATCGATTGTTTTTTAATTACATGTATATATAGTTAATAACGAGATTTACATCAATACTAGTCGAATATTATTCTATCTTTTGAAATACATACTTACCAAAAAGGAATTCTGATTAAACTAGTATAATGAAAAGGCGACAAAAAGTAAAACCTTGAACTTAAATCTTCATAGTCATAGAACCAAACCAACTATCATTGATAATGATGTTTTGGATGGATCTACCTTAAGTAGAAATACATTTCTCTTGTTTTCGAATCATTTATTTATAAATACTCAAAACTTGCTTCTTTGACAGCGATTCAATTAGAGATTCTGTATGGCATATGTGACCCTACAAAATGTTTGAGCCGGAACTCCTTTTTCAATCTCGAATCCTTCGGTTGAATTAATCAACTAATCCATGAATTGAAACAAAACTTGATATCTAACATTTGAGCGACATTTTCCGCTACGGAAACTCCGTTCTCGACGCCACTTTGTCACTTTGTTCAGTTCAATATTTGGGCATCAAAGTACAAATCTTTCCGGAAAATCACGAGTAATGTTGAGAAGAAGATAGCCTCGTCACTTATGTCTCTACCTCATATCGCAGACAATAAGTTTTTGTTTGGACGAATATATGTCCGTCCGCCGTAAAAAAAAAGTGGGGGTCTTTTCTGCCACGTCAGATTAAGAAATTTAGAGGTATTGCTTTTTAACGTGTGATAACTTGAATAAACGTCATTTCAAGTAACAAATTCGTAAAACATGCTTATCGGAATAATACCAACTGCGTGATACCATATTTGATACACTGCTCTTGTAATGCCATGTTGTACACAGCAGCCAAGAACCAAACGATCCTATTGAATTTAAAAATATAGATCCCATATATACTTACATGCGTCATATTGCAATCCCCTCGAGGCCCCAACACGTAGTACTGCCAGAGTGACCAATGAACAAAGGATTGGTGAACCCTTCATTTTCTTGACAGATAACCCATTCCTGTAAGAATACACTTCCAGTGTCCAGAACGTGCACGTGCACGTATCACCAAAGCGAACTTTTTACTTTTTGTCCAATCAACAATCTGATCGATTATTAAATACCATGCCGCATCATTGTGTAACGTAATTGCTGCTGTTAATGTCGTCCTATATAGACTCATCTACCTAATATTGTAGAAGATTAAAACCGATTTATTGATAGTTTTATTCCAGTGGTTTTGGTTCATAGAGTAATAAACCTGGGTAACGTTCCTTAATTTACTGTCTATTAGCTGATTATTCGCGGTATTTCCCTTCGGAACCCAAGAGGATCGAAGTAATCACCCACCAGTATCGTATTACTTGACGTGGATAAAGGCTTCCATTTACTTAATAAGAATTGTTTTGAATGCAGCTTTACAACATGAAAGCTATGAATGCACATTTCGGCTTTGTCTTTTTTGTAGGATTTATCGTTTAAGTTATTGGCTCATATCCTTTATCGGTGGATGAAAGGGGTTGACTCATGTCGTTCTTAAAGATGTTTGCTTAATGAACAGTAATCTATTTTAGAAAACAATGCTATTACTCTAATAATGTGTCCGTGTACACAATGTAAATCTTATATGTGTTTCGTAAGATATATATTTCATATTACATTTAAGGTTTACTCGCGATCATATTCCGTCTTTGCGTATTGCAGAGTAATCTTCTCTTGTGAGCAGGTATTTATTGTTACGTCATTGGTTTGTGTGAGAAAATTACGTCGTTTTCTCAAAAATTGATGACGTTACTCTCATAAACAAATGACGTAACAATCAATACCTGCTCACATCTTGGGATAAACACATGATATCTTGGAACTAAAAGCTAATAACCAAAAGTACGGTTAAATAGGTGTCCAGTAAGTGTTACTTTAGTCATAACAGAATGTATTCAAAAGACAGATACATTGTTTATACCTTATTGGAAAAAATATTCAGGACACTAGCAGTTTAATATATTTGTAGACTACGTCTATATGTCCTTTAACCTATATCTGTATTTATCATATTCATGTCACGATACGGTTAACAGTCATATAGTGGTGTTTATTACATACTTACTAATAAATATGTTGTTTTTTTTGTATATGCGATACGACACAATTACTCTAACCCATGTCAGCCCTCGCCGTATCACACCCCAAAAGCCGTATCACACCCCAAAAGTCGTATCAGCCCCCGCCGTATCACACCCCAAAACGCGTATCAGCCCGCAAAACCTGTATCACACCAATTTTGGACATTTTTCGTTTTTCAATATTTCAAGAGGAAAATAGGTCATAAGATAGTAGCTTTTATAAGAAAGTATGTAATAAACAGAATAAAACACGCCTTTTTCCATATCACACCCAGTATCAACCCTCGACCAATATCGAGTTGATACTGGGTGTGATAAGGAAAAAGGCATGTATTATTCTCTATATATCATTTAACACGTATTGTCTCGCCCTCCATCCTTTGACGATTTATTGATTTTCTTGTTCGTTTTTAATGATGTTTGTGCTTCATTAAAGTTCAACAGTGCAGCATAGCAAAACAGATATAATTACCAGCCTCTTCATATTCAATCAATCTTTTTGTCCTGACAAAATGCAACGTTTGCGTATATACCGGTATCGCGTATAGACATATTGACAATGCATTGATAATGCAAGACAATACGTTAATAATGCAATACCGGTTATTATTATTTTTATTTATTTTACAATATACTGTATTACTATTTCTTTTACAGCCACGACGGTTCGTTCGTTACCAAATATTTACCATTTTACATGTAACATGTGTTGTTATGTGACAATAATGTGCATTCATATACATGTACAATTTGTCATTTTTCGAATTGATAAATTGTACATGAAATACTGAAATATTGTTATTGATAGTGTCATCAATCATGGCCGAGTTATTTACATATGTGTAGTTGTTTTAGCACTCCAAGGCAGCGATACAAGTGTCTGACTGTGCCCAGCTTGAAGTATTGACTAAATAGTAGGATTGTGAGCACTTGGAGACATTGGCTGAAGAGAAGCATAGCAAGCTCTCTGGGGTATTGACTCAAAAGTAGAACTGTAACTCCAGGGTTTTGACATAAATGTCGGATTGTGAGCACTCAAAGATATTTTGACAAGTGTAGGATTGTGAGTACTCCAAGATATTGAAATAAATGTTGTGTAAGGTCGTTGTTAAAAGATGGCTAAAACTTTAACTATTTTGTTCTCAGATTACAGACAAACATTAAACTCTCGTTAAATTTCTGAATAACTATAACTACATGCTAATGCTCTCTTTCCCTACATAGACACATTTCTATAGTCGATAACTACCCAATATTTTCAATATGGTAAAGTTTCATTTATTTTCCATTTATTCGACTTGATGCTGAATAACGGGAGATAACTCATTTTCATTTTCTAATCAAATTCTCGATTTGACTGTGCATAGGCGCATAGGCCGATGTTTCTTATGTGCATTTTATAATCAGAGTTTGTTCAATTGCATATTATCCGATAATATACGACATGTACGTCTAGAAACTATTTGCACTGCCAATAGTTATATGACTATATATACGGGTAATTATAAAACCCATTTTCAATTATATATTGATCAAATATGATATATCCGGTTACAGGCATAGAATATAAATGCTATCAACACACATGATATCAAGCTATTCCTCTTTAAAATAATTTGCTCAATACCTATCGTCTGTCTATCTCAACTATAAAATATTTACATTAATGTTCATCGCTGTAACCGGAATGGGGAATGACTTATATCAGAGACGTATATATTATGCCTGTGGTATGATCATTTTGTTTTAAAACAATAAAATATCTTAAATACATATATGGAAGATGTGCATATCAACATAACCCATGACTGACAAGATACCCTACAGTGTAGGATTCCATCTGCGACAATACACCAGAGGCAGAATGTAGATATATCTTCGGTCTCGCTTCACCGAGCGACTAGCATGAGCCAACACAACGCAGATATCTAATTTGCGCTAGATCGCCGAAAGGACGAATGGCGGTGGGCGTTTAATCCGTATATGTACATGTACAACATTTAGACATAATATAATTCCTGTCAATAATAAGTTATGTATATTGTGCGACAATGATGTAGAAAACGAGTATCATTTTTTAATGGAATGTATATTTTATGATGATCTTAGATCTGTAATTTTAACGTATACGAAATTTTCAATGATATGAACAAATTTGAACAGTTCAGATATGTGATGTGTGAACCAGTTCTCCAAAAGACACTAGCTACCCAACTTTCTCTTATGTGGAGGAGAAGAACTATGTTTCTCCCATATTAAATAATTAGATGTGCAGGTATGGGGTGGGGGATATATAATTTGTCGGTGGGGATAGGCCCAACCACTCTTGTATATCCCTTACCCTTTTGGGGTACATACATGGTATTATATATATATGGAAATTTTAGTCCTGTTACAAATAACATTTTATCATGCATAATTGTTTTTACAAAAACTGGTTTATAACATCACATGTTTGAAGATATAATTTTAAACGTAAATAGTTTGATTGTTCTTATTATATAACGTGTCTAATAAGTCATTTTGGCTAGACACATTTTATATTCAAAGGTATATATGTATTGTGATTTTATGAATACTATGTGTTTGACACGAACATAAAATATTTGAACTTTGAACTATAATTACAATAATCCGAGTTCCTTATATACCCCTTTATCACAACCTACTTCGAAGGTCGTCTCAAAGCGGTTCACAAATTATTATCCGTGGTTATAATCCATGACAAAATGCAATAGAACTAAATATATACAAATGAACCCCTCAGTAATGTGTCGATAATTAACAGCTTACCACCGTCATCTGATGTGAAAATACGTACGTCGCAGTCTGACCTTGACTGCGCAAAACGACAATAAAGAGATATCTCGATCATCGAAATCAATCTGCACGACCAGGAAAAAATCGGAGATCGCCCACGGAAACCTGTATCAAAAAGCGGGACAAATGTAATTTCCTCCGATTTCTCTGAGGTGACAGTTGGACCGCTGTCTACTCTTCTTTAACAGACCTACTGAACCACCTAAGAAAAACCCTATACATCCTTAATTTTAGAATGAACCGTACGTCCCGAGTAAACCACCCTGACAGTACACGTGACAGCCTACATGCCGCACGAGACAAATTGTTCCCGCATCTACTGCGAACCGAGGGAATATTTTAGTTTACGAGAAAATACCAGCACATGCAGAGTAAAGGGGAATAACTCCTATGACACTGAAATCGTCAGCTCATCTGTCACTGTGAGAATGCTTTTTTTTCTCACAAATATAATTTATTTCGAGTATTAAGCGTCAAAATGGTATCCTATTCAAGTCAAGTTTGTTATGAAAACTGAGATGGTAATGGAAATGTGAATTATAAAAAATGTGAAAGTAATTGGTACCTTTAAAACGTACATTTTTTTTAATTGAAATAATTGGAGCCAAATCTTGAAATATTTTAATCATACTTCTGTATCTACATTAATTAAAATGACTTTTGTGCAATCAGATATTTCGGTTGTGATTTTTTTCTGAGAAGGAGCAGTTATCGTTTTCAAAATGAGCTATTAACAGAAGTCTTTGTTTTTAGAGAACAAATGATTTTAGAAGCCCGTTACGTACATCAACCTCCCTATGAAATGAGCAATGTCCAATTAACGAGTGAGATCAATTTAATTGTTTTGTCCTAACGGCTTACAGTGTACGGTCATATCAAATATATATATATATATATAAATTGTAAATCAGAAAAATGATCCTTACGGACGAATAAATATTACTTGACAAAGTGGCAACAGATTGCATTTACTACATCTGAAAATATATTCAAGTATTTTTTTGTTTTTTTTTGTTTGCAGACCTCGTCTTACAACGGTCGAGTGACAGACATGCTCTGTTGCCTTCACAATGGGGCTTTATCTTTTTATAGCATGTAGCCTTAGCCGTACTGGGGTAGCAGTACGCGGCATGGTCGCCCCGGTGCAATTTATAGATGAGTTGTTGTTATGTTTGAGTTATTGGCACACTTGGTGATTGTAGGAGAACGTGATACAGTTAGGAGATTTCTTTAAAAAATAAGAATTCAATGTGAAAGCAAACCAAAACCTGTGTATAATGCTTAGAAAACAGAGGCGTATAAAACCACTCTACTTTTCAGTATGAAAAGATTAACTTTTTATTTCTCTCAGATTAATTCTGTCTGTTCCCATGCACGAAAGTATTTATTATATGTAACTACAGTACAACTCCATTTCTATATTATACTATTTGTATCTACATGTATATATCTCTGTATACCATTGTATAATATAATAATACAGGATTTATTTATTCTTGATAACATATTGAGCATGAAGCTCATCTTACATTTCGGATACAGGATAAGGAATGAAATCATAAATAATTTCAAGTAAAATTGCTTTGCAGATCTCTTATATTCTAAAAATGAAGTACAATTTCTTATATATTGATTTGGTAAAAGATTCCATGTAAGGGGTCCATGATATCTAAAAGATTTTCTAAAAATGTTTGTCTTATGACATGGCAAGTAAAACACATTGGTAGATGATGATCTTGTAGTTCTACCCTGAACATAAATTCAAAGGTGTTGAGATAAATAAAACAGTTTGAAGATAGGCTAGCTACATAATTAGTGTTTATATCGATCTAATGATAAAGTTGTTTTCTTAAAATCCGATCTTATTCTGGCCGGACAAAAGATTGGGGCAATTAAACCAATCTACACTGTACAGTGCCGTGGTCGGTCTAAGCCTGTAGTGTTACATAACTGGCCGTAACACTGATTACCGGCGGGCACCTATATCAGTATTATGTGCACAGTAAACCTTGGTCATGCTTTCCATGCGTGATCCTCTCCTGTGTACAACCTGTCTAGCTGACCGTAACGGGGTCAAAGGTTACTAATGGAAATGTATACAAAGGCACATGGCGAACACATGATCACATCATGTACTGTACATTTTGGAGCGTGCATGTACACATCAAAACAACCAGAGTTTATGCTCATTAGTACGAAAACTGTCTCCGGGTCGGCAGCATATATTCATGGTGAGTTTTGCGTTTTAATTTTTGTTATAATGGAGCAACTTTTCCGAAGTTGTATGGTCTGTGGATCGATACCATGAATTGAACGTGTTTACGGGTAACAATTTAATTACATTGACTCATTGTATCGAGCACGAGAAGGATTTCATCAGCCACCTTATAGACGATGGTGTACTCGTTTCATCTGTTATTCTGAACCTTCCTATGTATTTTGTCACTATGCATGATCTATTTTATATTGTGAAAGATGGGTTGGTACAAAATCATGGTCTTTACAAGTTTATTGATGATCAAAACTCAAAATACATGCATGGTAGGACACGAGCAGGATTTCATCAGCCACCTTTTAGACGATGGCGTACTCGTTGCATCTGTTATTCTGAACCTTATTATGTCAATATGCATGATTTATTTTGAATTGTGAAAGATGGGTTGGTACAAAATCATGGTCTTTACAAGTTTATTGATGATCAAAACTCAAAACACATGGTAGGACACCTCCCCTCCCCCGTCCAATTCGGAAAATGAATGTGACCGATATACCATCACATTTATTCCTTTCCTTAAAATAAGATATATATATACGATTTCCATAGAAAAAATCAATCATGCATAATCAGGTACATGTATGTGTTTAGCATGGTAATACTTACCTGGTAATATTTCATTTATCAGTTTTGAAAGATCATATATATAGTAGGCCGAGGAAAGCACGTTATACCTGCATTTAACTTATCATAACTATATGTCATATCACAATCGTTGACGTTTACATGGACAGACTTATGCTTGAATAATTCTTTTAATAAATGGATGCGAAATGATCATCATGGAAAATTAATCGTCTATTTTACAAATATTTATTTTGAGGTATCGATCGATGCGTTTTCTTGCTTTTTACTTTTACAAATGCACAGAGAAATACATTGTTCTTAAATTAGTTATGAACGAATATGCCCGTGCCAAATTAAATCACCTTTAAAGCTAAAGTAGATATACAAACAATAGCCAGACCGTAACCCATGCTGCTAATCACGTGCTTTTATTACCTGTCGACTGACCTTGACTTTTTTTCAGTATAGAACCTAACGGGCCCTAGGCATGTTGATCAAAGCATAGTTAGCTTGACGTTCACTTAACGTAATTGTTTAGTCTGCTTATTTTCAAACATGTTGAGGAATTAAAATGTTTAACTTATAAAAATACAACCTGTACATGGATTCATGATAAACTACTGTCTCAAGATAAATACACGAATACATAAATATAAATGTTGAGGTATGTTAACGACCCATTAAGCTTCCCGATAAGGACAGGCCATGCGCATGTCTATATATATACACGCGCTGGAAGGTAAAGGTAGTTTTGACTAGCGTGATCAGGTGACTGTATAACTTAATCATTATGAATTGATTAGTAATCTTAGCTACTGATGTGTATATAAAGCCAGGTGTTTTCTGCAGAGGTACTGCTACCTGACAGATTCTATAACTGACTACTCGCATATACTGCCTCTAAAGGATTATAATTTCATTACATTACTTTTTACCCGGTGAGTGAGAAAAGCTTAAGTGAATTTATCAGTTTAAAGTCAATTAAGATTACTCAAAACAATAATTAACCGACGCATATCAATTTATAGCTTTCATGATAACAATTATTTTAGCTTATCATTTTTGTACTAATTTTGAAATTACTGTAGGTATACATGTGCTTTTAATAAATAAATGAATAATTTAGTTAAATGAAATTAATTAGTATTAAAAAATGTTCAAATGATTCAAATCAATAATTAATCAACGCATATCAATGTAAAGCTTTCATGATAACAATTATTTTAGCTAATTATTTTTGTTCTCATTTTGAAAAAACTGTAGGTATACATACATGTGATTTTAATAAATAAATGAATAATTTATCTAAATGAAATTAAATAGTAATACAATTTTCAAATGATTCAAATCAATAATTAGTCAACGTATATCAATTTATAGCTTTAATGATTACAATTGTTATAATCATTGTATTTTTGTATTAATTTTTACTGTAGGTATACATGTGAGTCTTATAATAAAAGAATAATTGTTTTAAATGAAATTAATTAGTATTAAGAGTTTATCGAATGTACCAGAATGCGAATTATACGTGTATTTATTTTTATAAGATAACTTTCGGGGTGTTAAATTTAAAAGCAAATTTTAAACAAAATAGTATTAGCGACACATTTAATGCAATGCTAATACATATGTATTTAAAGAGAAGGGATTGCATTTCTTTACATGGACGTGCACAGGACAAACCTCATTCTGTAGTACGCCTGACATACATATGACGCATGTGTACCTTGAACTTGAATTTTAGAAACTTCCGGTATACGTGAAGTTTGTACCTAGTAATAGTGACGTCACTTCTTACCTGTAATACAAACTTGAACATTCCCTATCCTGCAATCAGTGTCATGGTATTTTTCAGCAGTGAAGGTAGGTACTCACACGAACACCTATTCTCTATATGCGCCTATTAGAATAAATAAAGCCATCAGTTCTCTGTCATTCAATAGCATACTAGTTTATTTAAAATGAGTTAAACTTATATTATGAAATGTTTGTATTTTTCAGATTGCTTTACTTACGTCATAATACACATATCTCCTAAAGAAAATGGAGTCCTCAGCAGCTAGACGATTTGAGAAGGTTGAGCCCAAGGTGGGTTTCGAACTGAAGACCATTGTTCTGACGTCAGCGTGCTTCATCTATGCCATTGTCATATTCTTGACAGCGGCATGCATAAGCAAGGCAGTAGCATCGACCATGTCATCAGGTAGGTTTACAACAATTTGTATATTAAATAATATTTCTTACGTTTTGAATATTAAATATTATTTACCTTGAGAACGAAACAAGCTTTTTTTCTACATGTAAATAACGAAGTTCACTTTGTTATTTTTGCTTCACAGCTTTTGGATCTGAACTAATATGATAAAAAGACATATAATAGCAAGAAATAACGATGGAATCTACGTTTAATTATGTTGTTCATAGATAATAACTCCAATATTGTTTTCTGTATCTTCAGCTTCCTTGACATTGAAGCGCTATCAGTTCTGGAGTATTGACCACCAGACCACACTGGACATGAAGCCGACAAGAGCACGCTCGACAAAGCACATTTACCAGGGCTGATACATCACTGACCCAAACAACAAGGGAATCTCAAAACTACTTACATCGTCAAACAGTTGACCTAATTATTTGGATAATTTGGGCGATGATGATGCAATATGCCATTCTAAAATGATGTGCATAATGAATTGACCGATTTTCCTATTGCAATCCGCGCCGTAGCGATTGCGCTGCCTCAATAAATTGCAACGTGGCCCAGATACTGCGGAACTGTATACGGACTATCAATAGAAAGAATGTAATGGATTGTAATCGGACGACAACGGGGGTTGTAACTTTTCGTTTTCAATGTAATGTTACAAACAAAGACTTTCCGAAAGAATTTGGACCATGCACGGCCATGCACGTGCGAAAGTCTACTACGAAATACGTTCGACCCCGAACAGCAGTGCGGACGAACACATTATTGACAGCCATTGGATGTGAGATGTTCTGTTTTAATCAAATGTCAATTAAACTAAGAATGAATTGTGGATGTGATGAGTGTCAGGTGTACGCCATTGAATATAAGTGATCATGAATGTAAGTTGGGAAATTTATATTGATATGAGATACTTAACATTTTAAAGAATATCTTGAGAGACTGTATATGTTTTGATCTCTCTTGATAAACAAACAAAATTTGTTATATTAAAATGTTAGTTTTTTTGTCGTGAATTTGAAAGTGTGTACAGACTACAACAATAGAAAAATATTTATTTTCAAAATCGTTTCTGTTCAACAAGACGTCATTGTCTAACTTTCTGGCGTTTTCATATAGAGAGATATTGAGAGAGATTTAGTTTGAAATGTTCATTGTCTTTCATTAATACATGCATGTATATATGTAGATAATCAGAAATCACATACCAATGTCAATGTTGATTGAAGAATGAAAAGAAATCACAAGTATATCAACTAGAGTTAATTTGTGTTTGGGTGTGCAGAATGAGTGTGACGAATGTTTATTTTTTTGTATTATTGTTATAATCTGTTGCTTTTCACAGAGAAATGTTGTTAATAAATTACAAAACACTATCTCATTGTTTACGTTTTACTTCACAAACCTTGCAAGTATCCATATAAATCTTCTGCTGTAGACAAGAGAATATTATTTCTCCGCTGCAATCCGACTTCCATTTATAATTTGCTAAGGTTGCTTACTTGTATCTTTTTGACCAATCTAATTGAAATTAGACTTGTAATTCCGTTCCTCTACGATCCTCTCGAACGGAATAACATTTACCTTCCGCATGCTTCGCTTTAAAGAGTGGCATGGTGGACAAAAATAGTTTCCCGACAAGAAGCCAATATTAAGATAGTGCATGTAGTCCGCCTTCCGTTTTCCACATGTCCAGATGGTAAGCTGTTGAAATCAGGTGTTTCCTGACTATTTCCGAATAAACACTACACGTTCCCATTGGTCCTTAGTCGTGTATGAGCAAAACGATTAACTGATGGTCATCTAGATATTTGACAGTTATCTTTATAAATCGGATGGATTGTCCTGAAATTTTTATATTTTTGCTCGTCTTGCGCATGCTTTATTTCCAGATTGATCGCAATGGCAGTTACAGATGTTGCATTTGACAACTGAAGTTTTTTGTTTCTCACAGTACTTGCAGAAGTAAATAACACATGTCTGATCTTTCTCAAATGCAATATGGAGCGCTATACTGTTCCCTAGGTTTACATTTCATTTGAGTTTACTCAGAACAGCGGCGTAGCTAGCCCTTGTGGATTAAGTTAGTAGCGGGTNGGGGGGGGACAAGGTGATGTAGCAAGCAGTGGTTTTTGTTTTGTTTGAAAGTTCTGTGGTTTCACCTGCGTACCAGCGTATAGGCAGCTACGTATCTAGATCAGAAGAATGAGATGGCCGCCATACATAAACCCCCTTTCTGGTTATTTTCTTATTTACATATCTTTTCTAGTGAACTGGACAAGCGGCAATCGTTTGTAAAGATAAATGTCAAAAACAACAGTATGGAATTTTGATGAAAATTACCACATAATGCATTTATTGTGGACATGAGTGTTAATTATGAGATATGAGGAAGGAACAGCAAACATAAAACTTGCATGCAATTCTGAAGATCTTACGATGGTGATGACCGCTTTGTTGGTATCTTATCTCCGAAAACTGGCCTACCTTTGCATGAGATTTACATATTTATTTGATTTTCAATTTGATTGGGTTTTAAGCAGCATAGTCAGTAGGGTGAAGAGATTAAATACCGATACGTTTAAATAAAGGCATGCGACTCCCAAGGCGTATATCCTCAGCGGTCAGGTCAATGCAATATTTCAGAAAAAAACAGAAAGAGCCTATGGCATGATCTATAGATGTCCTAGAGTAAAAATGATGTTAAATTTGATTAAATATAAAGTCTAAAAGATTTTATATAAAATGTGCATTTTATCTTGAAAATTAACTGTTGCTGGCGATAGCTTAATGCATATTCAAATGCGTACTTAAATATAAATGATGTCTGATAAAGATTTATATCAGAGGCGCAGTGATAAGTTGGAGTTTTTTCTGAATACTGCTGAAAAAAAAAAAAAAAAAAAAAAAAAAAAAAAAAAACATCACAAACGTTAATCCTTCTTTAGACCGTATTGGACCAGCGTAAGCCGGTGTGCATCGAAGATTATTATTGTATTAACAAGTCGTTTGACCAAATACTCAAAACATGTTTTAAGAAAGCTTTCAATGTTTACAGAATTTTTGTATTTTTTGTTTCTTATTCATAATTTCGAATCCATACAAACAAAATTTTAATTGTAAATTTGTAATTTTTGTAACACATACTAGAAGAACATTTTGTGTTAAGCTGTCTTTACTAAACTAATCAGTCTTTAAACATGTGAAATGATCACATATAATTGACGACTTTTGTATATGGTAGCCGAAGTTTAGATATTGACATATCGCAGTGATAATTGTATTATTTTGAAAAAACAAACACGGGTTATCTGGAAATCTGAAAAGATGGTAAGCGTTAAACATTTCTACATGATTTAATAGAAATAGTTCAGCAACATCTTTACACATCGTCGTATGGCCTTAACTGTTATGAAATCGACATGTACTGTGTAAAATCTGGACGTCTCATCTTCACGCGCGGGAAATCACTTCTAGAACGATATACTGTGGGAAGAGTCACTCTAAAATGTTTGCCAAAATAGTTCGACAAAAATGTCAAAGTGTACACTTAGAAATCAAATGTGCATGCTTTTCAACGTTTCCGAATAGGTGGGTTGAAAAGTCCTAAAATAGTTTAAAACAGACTGTGCCGGAGATGTTTGAGGGGTCAATAACAATAATCGAACCACCCTTGACACCACGAAAAGTCGTTCGAGAATAAATTGATATGGTCAGCAAGGGAGTAACTGATACACAGCAGGATGTGATACGCTAAAGTGTATTCCTAAGCGTCTCGTTTTAGCTCGGTATATTTATTGATATGTAAATAGGACAAATCTCATTATGTATTTATAGCACCCATTATATATGTTGCATGCTCACCTTGAACCTGAACTTAGAGATGGCAAATGCTTGTAAAATCCTGATACACCTGTAATTTGTCCCTGGCTGCTGTGACGTCACTACCTACCGGTATGATATAAACTGGTGCAGGCCCTAGCTGAAATCACTTCCATGGTTTTCACCAGTGTGGGTAGGTATTATAACCAAATCAAATCCAATATATGCTTATACCAGTATTGAAATTCACACAGGGGATAGTGTTTATCCATATATAATGAACATTATTACTATTTTTTCTTAAACCTTAATATTTTTTTCAGATTTCACTTTTTATACCAGAATACGCAAAGCTACAGAACAGAAATGGAGTCTCCAGCTGCCAGAAGATTACAAAGGGTAGAGCCAAGGATGGGGTTTGAAATCAAGGCCATGGTTTTGACTTCGATATGTTTCTTCTATGCCATAGTCATATTCCTCACAGCGGCGATTATCAGCACGGCATCAACATCGGCAATGACAACAGGTAAGTTTTTATCATCCATTTTTTTTAATTTTAAACAAATTTTGCACATAAAAAAAACATAATTTTTCTGACTGTTTCATACTAAAACTTTTTTTCGGCAGAGAGTTTTTCTGTAATTATTTTTATTGAAACTTTATTTATTTAACGACAGTTATGAAACAAGTTCTATCAACTTACATTTATCACTCTTGTTGGTCTGGATAATGATAAAACAATCCGACAGTATTTTCTTAACACCCAGTAGTGAACACTTTATATTTTTGCATTGAGTCGGTTAGATATCGATCTTCGTTTCACACACTTTGGAGCAGAAATATCTATATGAAAATACAAAACCTCAGCACTGGTTCCAATTCTGTCTTCTGCATTTACAGTTTCCGCGATATTAAAGCGTTACCAATTCTGGAACATTGAGCACCAGACCAAACTGGACGTGAAGCGAACAAGATCACGCTCGACGAAACATATTAACCAGGGCTGATAAACCTCTGAACAATCAACACGGGAATCTCAAAAACACTTACATCTTCAATCACAGGACCAAATGTTCTGATGATTTGTACGATGATAATGTATTTTTAACTAAAAAACGAGGTGCATAATCAATCGATCAATTTTTCTACTGCAATCCGCACCAGATTGATAGCGCTGCCTCAACCGCTTGTAAGCGGCTCCAATACTGTAGGATTGTACGTGGACTTTGATACAAATGGAAACAGGATATGATACTGTGAACCGGACGATACAAAGGTTTTTAATTTTTTGTTTTCCATCTAGTGCAGACCTTTTGAGATAATTTGGACACCGATGTCCATGCACTAACGGAAAAGACTATAATGGAACTTCGATGGTCACTGAACTGAACTGCAATAAGAGGGGGGAATGTTGATGACAATAGAATGTGCGGAATTCTGCTTAAACTGTCAAATGAGTTATGAGAGTGAATTGTGATTATTAGACGTGTCAGATTAATTTCATTTCTTACAAGTGATTATGTGCGAAATTTGGGAAACATGTTTTGATACAAGATCTTTAACTAGAAAACTATCTTGAGGGACTTCATATGTTTTGATCTCTCTTTGATAAACTGGTTAAATTACCGATTTTTAAAATTGTATGCATGAAAATATTGATTTGTATATGCACATTTGAGAGGATGAGTGATCAATTATAATGAAGACAAGTGACACAGTCGTTTGAAATATACATTGTATGACGACGAGAGTGAGAGAGAGACAGAGAGAGAGAGAGAGAGAGAGAGAGAGAGAGAGTTATTATTTGTGTAAAATGAAGGAAATCGTGAGCATATTGACGAGTAATTACTGTTGATTCGTGTTCAGGTGTTGAGTGAGCGAGACGGGTGCTTAATTTTGTATTGTTATATTCTGTTGCTTTTCACAGAGAAATTGTTAATAAATTACATAATATAACCTAATTTTCTGCGCTTTGTTTTTAAATAAAAAGATATTCCGAACCTCGTATCGAAGGGAAAGAGATAACAAAAGGTAAGCCAATAGTTACACNACTTCTACTACTATTTTTGTTTTTAAACCACGGAAAAAGTATTTTAAAAAACTGGAAGATAGCGACCGTCTGTGGGCATTGATAGGTGAAGTATTTGTTTTTTAATGGTAGATATGAGAGAAAAATACTCTTTCATATGTAACGGTAGGTGGATGGAGAATTCCTCATTCGGGGATCATAATTGGGGTAAAAACCCACGGCAAAGTCTCGGGTTTTACCCCAATTTATGAGCCCCTCGGGAGGAATTCTCTATCCACCTCCGGTACATATGAAAGAGTCTTATAATCTTGTCTTATTAAGTTTAAATTAGCAACGTGTGTAATACCTTAATCAATATTTTGCATTAATGCTGAAACTGAAAATAAAAATAATCATACATTTTGTATCTGAAAAATACCGACGTCCAGAGATTAAATACGACCACCCGACTATAATAAGATAAGCTATTCACCGTCAAGTAATAAGCTAAAACAGGATGGTCGATTGGCATAGTAGGAAGCTCACTCGCCTATTATTAAAAAGGCCGGGATTCAGCTCCCCATTAGGAGATGAAAATATATGGGATTCTGTGTACTCCAGTTTCTCCTACATGAAAATCCCCTGGACGATGCCATATGGGCCAACAAAATCTATTATTACAATCGATAGAATTGTTGTAATCTAACAAGAGTAAGTCCAAACGACTTCTTCTTCTGGTTGCTAAAGCGACCACTGTCAGATAGTATACTAAATCAAGTATCTTAATATAACATACTAAAATGATCGGCTCAAGACAATAAAACCAAAAGCCCTCAAATAATAAAGTAAAACAATCACCTTCATATAATATAGCAAACAGGAACCTTCACATAATAAACTTAAATGATATTAAATGATATTCTCTTGATGATACACTGAAATAATGACAACCAGATAATGTACAGACCATTCATCCTATTATAATATTATACACATTCGATAATCATACGAAAAGACTTAAATGAGTAATCTACCGATATATAAAGCAATGCATTCTAAACGCATACATCTACCTGACTGGTGTTATATATAACGTTACAGTACACCCAATTCGGGATACTTTTTAGTGAAATAATGATGTATTTCATACCATAGTACCGATACCAGTAATTTTTGTTCACTTTTCCTAAAAAGATATCATTATCTTTTCATTTTGATAACAAGTTGATTTTTCCGGCGCGTGGTTCTATAAATAGAACCGGAAATAAAGTCATGATTACGTAATCGCGAAACAGGTGTAGCTGTACCCAAATCGGGACAACCCTACCAGTTTGGGCTTATATTTGTTTAGGTTCATTTAACAAATATGTGTTAATGAGACATACCAGACATATATAGGTGGTTGGGGTTGGGGTTGGGGTGGGAGTGGGGGTAGGGATGGGAAGACATAGCTAGACGTTTGATCGCCAAATAGTCACCAATAACGATGAATAACTGTGGTTTCACATGTTCTTCTTTCAGAGCAAAATTTTCCTCTGTAAGAGTAACGGAACTGGACTGTAAAAAGTACCATGGTAAGCGTTGGTCCATTTCTAACTACCACACAGTTTTAACACCATTGGTTTTATTTCATTTAATAGTATGCTCTCCTTCGACGATATATGCACTGCCGTCCGATCTATCAATACCAAATTATCTGGACACATTTGTGCACATGTCACACGTTCATCGTCGTATTGCGTCTCTCCTTGGTTCATGCTTAAATCACCTACGTAATCTGCGTAAGACTTCTTTGTTGTGTCAAGATTGGTCCAACGTGGGATATTGGCAATCCGTTCACTTTTGCGTAATCGGTTTCGGACTATTGGAGGACTTATGGACCGACGACTATGGCAATCAATGGTCCTTAATGTTGCTACGGATGTCCAACAACGACTGCGCCAATGCGTTAGTATGACGCGATCTTGACGCCGCGTCCTGATGCTCGGGTGACCACTTTGCGATCAGACGTAGAGCGAATGGTCTGTAATCGCATTACCAAAAGTTACAAATGATGAATGCAGCCTCTGCAAAATGTCTGACGACGGGTGTTTGCCCATGCTCTTGCAAAATCTTGGTTATTCCTTATCCCCTTCCATCTCCGTAAGCCTATGGTAATTTTGTTTATTTAATAATAATGTCGAAGCAATATACGAAATGTAAGAAAGTCAGTTTTTTCTTACTGATAAGAACAATTGAGCGACGGTTAGCAGCATGTTACATGTACCTTTAAGTTAAGAATATTTAGTTAGACATGCTGATGTTTACACATTTGCGTTGTTTCTATGGCGCTGCAGTATTCAAAGTTTTTATTAACATGTAAATAGGACACACTCAACATGCATTTATAACACTTATGATACAAATATCTTTCTGACCTTGAACTTATATTTGTGCAAACCATGTTGGCAAAGTCGTGATACCGGTGAAGTGTGTACTTGATTATATGATGACATCACAAGTTACCTGCATAATATTAACTTGACAATGCACTATCTTTGTTCAGTTCTACGGATTGTATCGTAGGTGTTCACATTCTTAATCCATCGAGTCTTTACAGTTACCGGTATTGGAATTCATTCAAGTTATCGTAGTGAAATATGTAATGGTACACCATACTACTTCTTTCTATGAAATCTTTGTAAATTGCAGATTACATTGTTAACATCAAAATTCATATAACAAAATAACAAAAACCAACAACAAAGATGGTGCACCCCGCAGCCAGACGATTCCAGAGGTCTGAGCCCAAGAGTGAGTTTGAAATCAAGGCCATTGCTCTCACGTCAGTATGCTTCTTCTATGCAATTGCCATTTTCCTGACAGTAGGCTTTGTCAGCAAGGCATCATCTTCAATAAGGATGTCAGGTATGTTTCTATTCGGTTTTTTTGTCGTTTTTTCCCCCCAACAATCATGTTCGTACTGTATCATCTTCCAATCAGAATAATTTTCGGTTAGATCATTTCTGTAATAAATGAAAAATCAAATAATTATTTAAGTAATGTTTGGTATTGTATTTAATATGTTTTGTTCAATTTCATTCCAAAAGTGTCTTCAATATTTACAGTTTCCTCGATACTGAAGCGGTTCCAATTATGGGACAATGAGCTCCCAACCAAACTAAACCAAAAGCCGACACGATCACGCTGGACAAAGTACTTTTACCAGGGCTGAGACATCACGGACGCAAACAACACACGAATCTCAAAAACATATACATAATCAAATGAATGTCTGCTTCGGTGGGTCTTTTTTGCAATAACATATGCATTTTGACTCAAAAATGATGTGCTAGTCGATCGACATGTTTTGCGATCGCAATCCCCACCTAAATAATGGCACTGCCTCACCATTTTTGTAAGCTATGCTTGAAACTATATAAATGTTAACGGACAAAGGTACAAATACAATGTTCTGTCTACATTTTTGTAACAAACCTGGACACACACAAGGGGATGGGTGGGGGATTGCAAACCTTAAAAATCTGGTTTTGTTCTTTATAGTATAATGATAATTGTTCATGTTATTTTATAGAAGCCATTTTTTCAACTTATTATGTAAGTCTATATTAATTTTGCAGTTTTTATGCTTATTTATCAAGAACTTATGAGATTTAAGTTCAAAGAGTATGTGATTTGATACTTTAAACTCGTTATATTAAGTTCTATTTCTAGACATTTCATTTTAAAAATGTATTGTTTAATCAATAATTTGATAAGATTATCCACTATCAAATCTGCATCCTTAGAACTGAATTGTCCAAATATAAATTCCTGTTTGTCAAAATTCAAATAAATATTACTGGTCGCAAGCAATTGTTTTAGTTCTCTCAAAATTTCACATACTTTTACCACAATCCCAAAATAGATGTTCAATTGTTTCTGGATTTTTTTTACGAAAAGTACAAGTTGAATTTTGTTTTATACCCATTTTATGTAGGAGTGTATTTGTAGTTAAGATTCTGTGGTTAATTCGGTATTGAAACCATCTTAGTTTAATACACTATCAGTAGTTTTAAAAAGAACATGCATAAATCTTTTCCCAGAATTTGTCCCGAATGTTAATCACTGTTAACCATTTCCTTTGTGACGTAGGTTTTGTATCATCCTTTGCCCCTTTAGTCTTCCTTAATAAAATATTTTGATTTAGAGGTATATTGGGTAAACAAATATTCTTTTCAAAAGCAAAGATTTCTTGTTTACTATTTATAAACTGTTTTATAGCACTAATCATACTGTGGAAAGTTAAAAAATTGGACCTAATATCATATCTATGTTGAAATTCTACAAAATTATAAAAAGAACCATCTTCTTTAATAACATCATATATAAAAAGCACTTCTTTTTTATACCACGAAATTTCATTAATCTAACCTCGATTGTCCTTTTGATGGCCATTTAGCTATCCACAAGGATAAATGTATTGAGGGCAAATTAATGTGTGTGGTTCTGCTTAAAATGAACTGCCATTCAATTGTGAGATTGGCAAGTGTTCATATTGAGTGTCAAGCGAAATCAATTTGAACATGTGATCATGAATGTAAGATTGAAACAATGTATTGATATAGGCTTCATATAACTAGGAAATGTGTATTGATAGCTTTACTAAAAAAATAACATCTTGAGAAAATAAATATTCTTTGATCTTTCTTGAAAAAAAACATTTTACTTCAGAATGTTTGAAATTTAAAACATTGACATGTTGTTTTTGAGTTGTATGTTTGACTCTTAAGTAGTATAAAGGACTTGAAATCCATAATCAATAAAGGTTAAATTCAATCGTTTCACGGGGAAAACTACCAGCAATGTTGCTGATAAGGTGGTTACTTTTAGAGAGATACATGTAGTCAGAGAGATTTAGTCTGAAAGATTAATTTTAATTATTTAACAGACAATCAGAGAACCCATA